TGCCATTGGCAGCCGCGGACTCATATCAAACACATGTTGTGATGAGGCACAATGAAGAGCAAATGCTGGAAGGCGGAGGGATATGGTATTATTAATTAATATATGAACGTCATCAGTAAATTACTTGCGTGTCATGACAGCTTGCTTGAAATAAATTAACACTTCATTATATACTAGAATAAGAGCACTCTTGTTTTACTAACTTCCTTTATGAGCGGACTTTGCAACACTCGCGATGCAGTAACAGAAAATACTTCCCCGTCCCCGGATTTATTGTCCTGTTGTTAAAGAATAACTTAGTTGCTTGTTTCTTCTAAATTATCTTGTTACCGTGGGGTTTTTGAATACTTATAAAGGGTCCGGGAGTAGGCCTATAGCCCGCTCTTGCACATGCATTTAACTCCAACAGTGAATTGAGAGGCGGACCTTGGTGAGTAACTTAGATCTTGATCATTTCGTTACCGTGATCTGAAAACGATCATGATTGCTCCATAGATACGTGTACAATTTAAAGTATTTTATCTTTAAAGCAGGTGTTTTGTATTTTTTATTTCGGGAACATTTGTAGTTCATTAAAATATCCATCTGTGTCGTAATACTGCAATTAATCCAGAACAATAAACAACCATAAATTTTATTTTCAAATAAGATACCAAATCAAGAAAAATTCTGCATGGATTATTTTTCGTGTCGATTTCTGGGGTGTCAAATTCAACAATGACCAGTTATTAGTAAGGCATAGCAATGTCTTTGTCTTACATTTCAAACATATTCGTCTATCTAGTCTCTATAAAATCTTAACGATTTGGGAGAAGTGATATCAATTACTTTTGTGCATTACACTTTCCATTTAAATTGTATTCTCAAATGATGCAACGAAATGCCCAGGATTTATTCAACTGGCATTTACCTCCAAAGAATACAAATATACAAACAATTTTGCATTTTTCCATCATATTTTGAACGCATTTAGAAAGTTATCAATTTCTAATTTTGTATTCTGTTTGTATTTCATTACATTATTAAATACTAGAATATTGAATATAGAACATAGAACAAAATTTTAACAAAGGAAAAATGCGATACGGGTATTCCACTTCTCGGATATTCCACTTTTCTTATTCATTGTGAACTCACAAATACATCACAGTGAAATCTGAACTACAGGTGGACAGTAAAGAGTTCGACTCCGCCTTGAAAGAGCGCGTTTTGAAACCGGGTGTAATTTTGAGGGACGAGGGACGAGCTGGTGTTGGACCGGTGGTTCACAAACTCGTATTGTTCGCTCGAGAAGCAAAAAATGAAAATAATGGACCATACAGAGGGCCATACACAGCAGGCATGTCTCAGAAACACACTTTGTTTTTTTATTTTTCAGTTCAAGTTCGGCGATCTAGATACAATTTGAGTCAAGATAAAAAGAAAAGTATATTTTAATGTTTCACTAAGGTACTTATTATTTTCATTACAAGAAAAAATCCGCATAGACTTAAACGTTCTTATTTTGCTATTCATCGGACAAAATATATTTCTATCAGTACTCCTAATTTTACTTGAATAAAAATTCATAAACATTTCTATCGTGTTGCGTCCTTTTCCTAAAATTTAAATATAATTATATAGAAAATTTGTATTCAACATAAGTACCATGAGCCAGGCCACACGAAAATGGGTCTTATCACAGAATTATATCAATATTTTGATTTTTTGTTTGTCTTAAAAACCACAAAGAGACCTTTCAAGTGAACCATGGCTTGTGTTTTACAATTTTTCCTTGTAGATATACACCAAAAAGACGGATTTTAATTGATCCGTTCTCCCGTGTTGAGGCTGAAATAGTATTTGATATAAAATACAATTAAACGTATATAAAATAATATTATAAATTAGCAAATTGCAATTGGTAGTCATATCCGAAGGGAGGGGCAGATTTTTAGTCATATTGAGCCTTCTAACATTCTTAATTGATATTTATCCTACTAAACCGGGATTATTTTATTCTTTAACTGAATAGATTTAAATTAGAAGTTTAAGGTGAATTAATCGATCCACACATTTAATTTGGTCCATAACAGCATTTTTTCATGACAGAGAATAGGTTAAATTCATTTCATTTTTCAAAACAGATTTATTAATTGTATTTGAATTCTTGTATCATGTTTTATTGTTATGTATGGTTAAGAAATACTGTTGAATGAAATGTCCCGTGTTTTCGTTTTGGATTTATATTCTTCTTTTGTATTGGCGTGGTATAAATATAGCATGTATAAATAATCCGCATTTAACCCTAATGTCTGTAAGAGGGGGGTCAATCCGATCGACCCCCTCTCGATATTTTTCAAGAGTACTAGTATTTATTTTTTGCACTTTTTGCGTCGCTGTTGTTATTTTTAGCTTGGGCCGCAGATAAAAGACAATTATTTACATAAAAACCAAGGTGATTTGGGGTAAAGGGCCAAAGTTATGATAGTTGGAATTAGGTGCCAATAGATTGAAATTCATAAAATATATATTGATTGTTACCTTTTTTCTCATATGAACCTGTAATAAAGATAAACCTGTAACAATTGTTTCTCAAGGTCAAAAAGGTGTTTTTCAACTTGCTTCAAATGGACCATTCTTTTTCAAAATCATCTTCAAGTTATTGGAAGTTCAAATCTGACTTTAGATTTGAGATTTGACCTTCATTGGCTTGTTTCAAATTGACCAATTTTCTAAAACTCATCTAGAAGTTCTCATAATAGATTTGACCTTCAATGGCATTCTCATGGTCAAAAATATTTGTCCTTCGATGACCTTCTCAGGGACCATTTTTTCAAAATCATCTACAAGTTATCAGAAGTTCAAATCTGACTTAAGATTTGACCTCTTCATTGACCTTCTCAAGGTCAAAAATGTATTTTTTCAACTTGCTTCAAATTGACCAATTCTTTTTCAAAATCATCTACAAGTTCTCAGAAGTTCAAATCTGACTTTATATTTGAGATTTCACCTTCAATGACCTTCTCAGGGTCGAAAATGTATTTTTCAACTTGCTTCAAATTGACGAATTTTTTCATCTACAAGTTCTCAATAATATTGTGAGCAACTTGGTGTTGTCATTTTGTCATGTCAATGCCTTGTAAAAAGGTTGCAGACATTCTAGTTAATTCTCTGCAGATATTGAATTGAGGTTAAGAAAAATATAGTGTAGGGTTTCTATTTCTAATTAAGATCGTCTCCCAACATTACACTCTTTGTCAATAAGTACATGTACTTAACTCTACGAATCGGATATTAAATATACGAGTAGTGCCATCCTACCGGCATGACATCTTTTGAACACTATTGTTTCTATACTTCTTTAATCCATTCCATTTATGTGTTTCGTGTAGTTCGCAGAATACTTTAAATAGGTTAAGTTTTATCATCAATTTAATATTTTTCATGATAAGTTAACTTATTATGGAGATTTTTGAAATTTTCTTTTGGACAAAAAGTTGTCAGCTTTTTATTTCTCAAATATTCAAATTTCCCGCCATTTTTCAAATACATATTTTGAATCATCAAATATTTAATATACAGTGCAAAACATATTTATGACGTGCACGGACCTGGAGACAATTCGATAAATACGAGATTTTATCGTGTGATCTGTAAATATGAAGCCCTCCGATTGGTCAGTTCTCGTGCTGTACAAATCTCTCCAAATCGATCATCACCGTAGCAATACAGAACATATCGGTACGAAGGGGACAACCTCAATAGCAATACAGAGGGTACAGAAAAAAAATTATAGAATGATTTGAAGTGCAATACAGGATATATTCTGCTGTCGATATTCTGTATTGGAACTTGACCTCGTCTCGTGGCAATACAAAATTTCACGAGCATAATATACCATGTCCCCATCTTACTAAAATTTCAATGTTCAATGGAACATATGCATTTATGATGTCACAATTGCAGAACGGCTTCAATTTGAATTTTCTTAAATGGACGCTTTAAAACTTTTAAAAATCGTAGGTTCTGGAGGTGAATGGGACGAGCGATAAGCTTACCTTTTCAAACCTTCTAATTTATGTCTGAATTGATTTGTAGATATATTTAGAGGTTATGTCACTATGACGTGAAATATGCCTGAGTTCTCCCAATATAGGCCGACCTTGGGAGGCTCTATATTTGGGCAAGAACGAAGGCATATTTCACGTCATAGTGACATAACTGATGTATTACATGCCTTTGTTCCCATGGTTACTTTGTATCAATGACGTGACGTCATGATATTATCATGGTTATTAAAGAAATCTAATATCAAAACGAGGTAAGCGGGCTATATCGGGGTAATCGGGCAATATCGGTGGATATAGCTCGCTAACTTTCCCATTGACTTCCATACAAATGCTTCGCTAGGTATGTAATACTAACAATTACTGCCGGAGTGTTCCGCCTCTGGGTGGTATCAATTAAGAAATATCAGGTTTTCTGATACATCGAGTATTTTTTCAGGATACTTTCGTGAACGTTCCATATTCACATAATAAACGGGGCATAATATTCCCAGAGACTACACTGGTTTTCGCTGTGTGTTATCATTTTATGAAACCAGAATCTACGCACTACGCTAAGAAGGATAAAAGTGATACAATCAGAAAACAAAATTTCTTCGCAAATTATTTTATGTTAAGACCGGTCAACCTGAAACAAAAGACAATTTCTCTTTATTCTCAGTTGATCTCCAGTGCACATCATATATTAATAATCATATATAATTGAATAGTCGAGTATACTCCTAAGCTGCTAAATATAAGACGTTTTAATTATACACTATAGCTTATTTCTACGACTCACACGTAGTGCATAGAGGTACTAAACATATTATATACTAAGATAAGCTGTCAGGAAATAATTATTGAATTATCATACTCACTATTCGTTTCCTTTGGAATACATATTAAGCACCGGGTATTAAATAAACCCTTGATTCGACACCGCATTCAAAACAATTTCTAGCTGCGAAACGGGAATCCACGATGGGTATCAGTGTATTAACAGGCCCGTAGCCAGGATTTCCAAAGGTAGGTTTAGTTTTCAAAAATTTCAAGGGGGGTTCACATTTGACAATTTTGGCCAAAATATGGCTAAAATCACAAGAGAAGTGCTCAAAATGGTGGAAAACTGCATTATTTTGAAAGAATCTTTGGCCAAGGGGGGGGGGGTTCGCCTGAACCCTGCGAACCCCCCTGGCTACGGGCCTGACTAATCATACATGTTTGTTGTTACCCCGAATACAATTATCCGTTTGAGTGCAAAATGATTGCCAAAATACAATGGGATTTGTTATTCGCCTCTTCCCATTTGCAAAAAATACATAATGTTTCTAATGTGTTTTCCAATGTATTGTGTAACATTTAATACTTTGATATCATTTTCGTCGTGAAAAATCGGAAACTTCAAATATTTAAAGAATTCATTACTTTTCAATTACAAATTCAACTTTAAAACAGCAGTCGCGAGAAGTAGGATTGAATCATTCGTGATAGTTTTTTTAATTGATAGTATCTTGTGAATTGTGATGTATTGTCGATACCGCATAACGACTGAAAGTCTTTGATCTAATTTTAAAAAACAAATAATTATTAAAACAAATGTTCATTTCACGACGCTGAATGGAGTTAAATCTTGGCATATTAATCGCAAACAGTATACGATGTCAACAGCGAAAGTGTTACCTCAAACTATCTCCATTCTAATCATGATGTTTATTATACTGTATTGAAATACATATAATCATGATATATATATACGTAATCATAATAACCGTCCCACTGATTTAATTATGTAGTTCTTTCTTTGCTTGCGGTATATAAGAAGCACACTGATTATGAAAGAAATAGATTTCGGAAAATGAGGCATTGACAGAATGACACCCTGGATAAACATCGTCGTATTCCTTTGCATAAGAGGAACATTTCAAATCGATGAAGACTACGATAATGTTCAAGACATGATATTAAAGGAATTCAATGAAAATGCGGAAATACATCAAATCCGAGATGCTCATCAACAACAGAATATCAGTGTCGCAAGGGAAAATGAAATGGAGAAAAAAATATGTGATCAGAAAATGCGCACGTGTAAGGGCAGATGCGGTGTTCCGAAAAATACAAGCAGCCTCAGTGATTTTTATTGCCAATGTGACGACAAATGTGCCCACTACCAAGACTGTTGTGTTGATTTTGAGAGCGAGTGCAACATCAACATCAACATCTCCAAATATGGCGAACAGACAGGTGGACAAAGGTCTAAACATAGCTGTATCAAAATAAGCCCGTCAAATATGGTGTACATGGACGAAACGTGTGCAAGCGATTATATTGGGAGTGCTTTAGAAGAACAATGTAGAAGCAGAGATACTGTTCTTGGTCTATTACCAGCTTATGACAATCAAACAGGTATTTCACATTAGTATTAACTTAATTGAATACGTCAATTGTTACATAGCTAAGCATAATATATCACACTCCAGCGAATCAGAACACAAAATATAAATTACTCGATTACTTGTGGTCGATTTAATGTACCCGTGTCTTGCATGTTAGCCTTGGAAACCGGCCCCTCATTCATTCATAGTCGATATACAAGTTCGGAGCTAAAAAATTAAAGATCTTATAACTAACTACACGGCGTCAAATAAGTTTGTTCTTCCCCTTAACTTTTTATGTCACCACCAAATAGTAGTGACATATTGACCATGGTCTTCATTTTTTGTGATGGCGATCGGCGAATGGCGGTTGGCGGTTGGCAGTTGGTGGTTGGTGATCGGCGTTTGTAAAAATTTTTTAAAACTTCCAATAACTTGACAAATACTGTTTAAACGGACTTTAATTTTTTTCAAAATCATCGACAAGTTTTCAGAAGGAGGACAGACTTATTTTGACGCCCTGTATACTGAAAATACAAAAACGTCATGATTGATTTTCCCCGTAATGATGTATTGACTATGAAATTAGTTAGGACGTTTGTTGAAAAATGACATAAATCCCCTATAATCTTTAATATCTACACGGAAATAATTTTGACTGTTCGTTCAATCCCATGGGCAATGTACTGCATTGTAAGCTGGAAAATAATTTGGTAAACCTTTTTGAATTCCAGAAACTCACTACAGAAACGTATTTTGCGCAAGATGTAATGATGTCCAGTCCGCTGTATTGTGGGAGACAAAGTACAGTTGTGTTCAAGACATATTTGATGAGTCGGATTTTCAGAGTCCTGGAACAAATACATTATGGAGAGTTATGAGTTCACCATTTTGTTCCATTGAGTATGTCCCTCCTTTGAAGAATCATCTACTACTGAGACCATGTATACCAACTATCTCGAGATGTCCAGAGGGTACAAATAGCTCATTGGCCAATCTGTGTGCGTACTCTAACTTAGACCCCTTTTCTACATACCGACAGCAATACTCTGCCTACCATAACTGGTATTGCTACATGTGCACTGAAACTGATTGGTCACGGCCTACGTGTACTGTTCGTTTGAGACAGATAAGTCTTCAAAGGAGTCCCGACTTGTCCTTGTTTTCGTTCAGTGTAATCGTGGATGTGAGATCAGATACTGAAATGACATTGAGATCTCAAGTGGGACACGGTATCGGTGGATTGAACGTTAAGATCGCCTGTAAGTCTGACGATCGTGGTTGCAAGGCTCTAACCTGCCCAAAGGCATATGAACAAGTTGGACATACATGTAAATTGATTAGTATCATTGTCCCCGTGCAAATCTCTTGTAACTTTTCAATGAGGCACGACAGATGGTCGGTATACCAAATCACTGAGACATATATCAAAGATATTTTTGATCCAATTGGGTTCATTCTAAAAACTGATTTTCGGGGAGTTGGGAAAGATTTTAGGTTCAGATTCAATACATCGTTCCCTGAGAAGTCTACATTCTCTCAAATTTCCACAAGAATGGCTTCAGACTCTAAAGTCTTTAAAGGGAAAGTGGAAATCTCTCTCCCACAACTTAATGGTTTTAGAATGACGTATGATATGACATTTGTAAGGGACAATGACACTCATGTCACACAAGATTTTTCTCGAGTCAAAAAAAATGCTTCTCATATTGAAAAACATTTGACAAGTTGTGGGCTCCGCACAAGTTACAGAATGGCAGGGATGCTTTTCGTGTTTTTGTATGTGAGCAGACATATCTTCAATGACTGCTTCATCTGGTAAAACACAAAACACACGTGAACATACATTGAGAACCCTTATTTGCAATTCTACATCTTCATAGGAAGGCGAAAATGCTAGAAATATATTTATCCTAATATATATTTTATACATTATAATTATATAAGTATATTGATGAGATTGGTCAATAATAATCATCTACTAGTATGTAAAAAGCGTCCATTACTTATTGATCACCCCTTGTATGTATATCTTGTATATTAATTAAGAATATCATACTATACGATATTTACAATAACATTTCTTATTGTTTTTTATTTTTATATCACATCATGTCCATCCTCTTTTAAGACATCGACATTATAAGCCACTCTCTTCTTTTTCAGCAATGCATTGTTCTTGATCACAACCGTATCTAAAAATTAATTCAAAAATCACCTTACATAGTCGTTCACTCGCAAAGAGTTGGTTGTTTTGCTTGCTGTACTATCACATCAAACTAGTTCTCAAACTAGTACGAACGGAACCGTCGTACTTCAATCCTACTAGGGACGTTTTAACAACGAGTTGAACTGTCTGAGGACGCGTTGAGAACGAGGTAGAACTAATTGCAAACGGGTTTAAACTGACTAAGAACGTATTAAAGACTTCTTGTGAACGAGTTAGCAAAAATATAGCTATCACACCAAACAAGTTTCCACTGCGTTCTTCAAAATCGGTTTTAAACTGTGTGCGAATGGAATGAACGTAGCTGCAACTTTCTAAGGTCCATTTACGAACTTCATGAACTTTCTCAGACGGGAAGGTGATTTAGAATTTTGAAATGATTCAAAATTCGATGGCGACCATACCGTTCTGTAATCAGGTCATGGTGACATTCTAGACGAAGGGACGCGTTATACGACGTTGCACACCGACGTGGTGCGACCTGAACGAACTGCGAATGAGATGGACGTATTGAAGACTGTTTATGAACGAAGTTGCTAATTATTTTAGATATATTTCCCGACCACAGTCAGATTGAGCCCCTTTTACGACGTTTTCGTAGGACTGGCAAGAACGGGTAAGAACTAGTTTGGTGTGATAGGGGGAAATTAGGGGCAATGCTCTAAAAAAAAGTTCAGTTTTAGGCCATATAAACCACCTTTTGAAAATTAGAGTTTTTGGTACATATAAATACATTTGCATGGCCTAAATGAACTAGAAAAACAGCCACGAAGTAGCAAATCCTACCGAACAAAACATATTTTGATAAGTGGCCGTCTTGAAAATTTTTGAAAAAAGCATATCAGCATATAAAATATGAAGCAAATCCATCCTTTGGTATCTGAGTTATCAAAGATCATGTTTTTGCTTGTGGACTTCCTCAATACAGTACTAGTTAATATGCAAATACAGGAAAATGCTCAGACATGTCCATAATTATTACACCACCATGCCTAATGTTATTTATATTAGTAAAAATATTATCAATTAGTGTAGCAGAGTGGGATGTTACTCTAGTAGGACGGTAAATAACGGGATGGTGGTTAAATGAATAAAAGCAAGTTCAAGAAGTCTTTAGTCATGTATTTCATGCTTAAAAAGATCAATGTTGAAATCCCCAGCCAAAACTGATAACTTCTTTGACTCATCTACATTAGACAGGAAAGCCTTTAAGTTGATATTGAACTCATTTATGTCTATTTGTGGTGGTTCATAAATGGTCAAGATTACATTTTTTACGATAAATGAAGGCCATTTCGAATAAAGTGGCCACATTGGAAATTCCATCTGGAACAGAGGTCCTACTTCCATGATGCATTAACCTTTAAAATTGGAATCAAATCCGCCGACCGTACGCGTTATTTGAGTTCTTGCCCGGACACACGGACGAACGAACAGACGGATGGACGGCTTTTCTATATCCCCCTCGAACTTCATTCGGTGAGGTAATATTATCCAGTTACACTTTGATACAAACTCTACTCCCGGTAATTTTCGCGTGCTACTACATTTTGTGCTTTTCGCAAATTTTGGAAGAAATCGCGAAATATAATAGCCGCAAATTTTAAAGTTCTAATTCGCGAAATTCCCGGGAATTTATTTCACTCAATGTAGATGATATTTTCGGCAAGTATTGGGCGATAAAGGGTTCAGAGGTTACTGCATTCTTACATTCAGATTCTGGAAGAACATAATTAAATTAAAATTGCTCAAGATAAAGGGTAATCATGGCTGATATTGAAGTGCAAAGCGTGGTATTGCATGACAAACCCACTTAAACTCTAAAAACGTACAAAAGTAATTGCCAACCTACATAAAAGAAGCAGGACACATTTTCAGAGGTCAACTACCGCGAAAATTAATAGCTGCAACATTTCAAAAAACTAAAAATTAGCGAAAAACGCGAAATATAATAGCGTCAAACATTAGTGGGAGTGCAGTAATTACTTACTTATCAGCCGCAATTATACACAGAATTTAGTTTGTAGCATGGCATGAAATGGCATAGGGTTGGAGTAAATGTAAAGAATGGGTTTAAAACCTGTGCAATGTTAAATATGTTATCGTAATCTTGTGATCAAGACAATATGAATTAAAGGTAGTACGGTACCGTACTTACATATGCCAACCTTGCTACATATTTTGCTTCCAGATTCGGGACATAAATGACAGTGCACCTCAGCCATGGGCTCCACAGTTTCAACCTCACCAGATTCACCCTATATAATCAATATTATCAAAATATCAATCTCTATAGTTGTAAGTACTATGTTCATTGGTTCCTCAGTTTCAACCTCATCAGATTCACCCCATTATAAAAATGATAAGACTGGATTTGCAAGTTGTACTTATCGTACACATATATTCCCCGGTAAATTGTAACCTTTGAATGATTAGTACATAAACATGAAGATCTGAAGTATTAAAGAGAAGAAGTATTGAAACATTATTTACCTTGAAATTTATTCCAATTTCAAGCTCCCCCTCTTTACTCAAAACGAACCATCTACAATGAATATTGGGTTATTTAAGTTATATTAAGTGTGGTGACACAATTTTAATTTTGAGGTTATCATACATTCGACCTAATCATAGTTGTTAGTGATTGCATACGATATTGACGCCGAACACCGACCGACAAACATCAACTGCAGAACATCGACCACACAGAACATTTTCTTTCATATTGAAATAACGAGATAAGTAAACTGAATTGAAATATTCCGGAAAATTTTCAATTACAGAATGAAATAAAGTACTTCACATAATACATGCTAAAAAGTAAAGAATCCACTTGCATAATTGAGAATCCTATAGTATTGACCTCTATTTCAATGGTGATTTCTTGTCCTCTTTCAATATCAACTTTGGTATAATCAGAGTTTAGCTCATAATCGGCGAAACTTGGTGCCATATAATACGATTTGGGAATCTTACTTGGATATGTTATCTATAACACAGGAAGTTAATATGGATGTAGTACAATGATAGAAGAATTAAAGAAAAACAATCTATCGTATATGCACACATCGTGCCTGCATGTTTGAGATTCGTATTACCAATTCGCTATTTGTTTAAATCGTTCATCAAAAAAGAATTTCCTTCATATACCTTACTGCTAAACTTTGGGTCGCCATCTTGATCTACCAAAGTCCCACCATAATAACCAATTAGTTGGTCTTCGTCTATGAACCTTTTCAAATCCTTTATATCTGAACAATATTTTAACATACATATAACAAATAACATTGTACTCGTGTCGCTTTGTATGCACATGTTATAGTTTTAAATGATTTCGTACAGAAATATTGTTCTAACGATGTATCACAAATATATATCATCATGTCTAAAGTTATACATGCTCGTCCCAATAGAAAGACTAAAACGTGGGTGATAATTCTAATTACATAACACCACGTGTTCTCGGATGGTTATGAAGATAAAAAAGGACAATTGTATAATACCTTTCACGAGTTCTATTTTAGATAACGTATGTTTGGGAGCTATGGCCTTGTATAACTTGAAGAGAATGTTCATCACTGTTGAGTCTAAAGCAATATAAAACACACGAAATGATCAAGGATTTGTTTATATCCAACAACGTTGAATCTAAAATAATATAAAACACACGAAATGATCAAGGATTCGTTTATATCCAACAATGTTAAATCTAAAAGAATATAAAACACACGAAATGATCAAGGATTTGTTTATATCCAACAATGTTGAATCTAAAAGAATATAAAACACACGAAATGATCAAGGATTTGTTTATATCCAACAATGTTGAATCTAAAAGAATATAAAACACAAGAAATGATCAAGGTTTTGTTTATATCCAACAATGTTGAATTTAAAAGAATATAAAACACACGAAATGATCAAGGTTTTGTTTATATCCAATAATGTTGAATCTAAAGCAATATAAAACACACGAAATGATCAAGGTTTTGTTTATATCCAATAATGTTGAATCTAAAGCAATATAAAACACACGAAATGATCAAGGTTTTGTTTATATCCAACAATGTTGAATCTAAAAGTATATAAAACACACGAAATGATCAAGGATTTGTTTATATCCAATAATGTTGAATCTAAAAGAATATAAAATACAAGAAATGATTAAGGTTTTGACAATTTATAAATAAAGATATCTCCCTTATTGCAGTATTAGATTTATTTTCAAAATGATCTTAAATGAAACAATAAGTTCCTATGCGTCATGTTGTGTCATGGACATTTTCATTTTTAAAAACGTATTACATATTGTTAAGATGTATATTAAAGCAAATTACGTACATGTTTTGACTTTTGAAATATATGTATACGCAATAGAGCTCATTTAAATAAATTGTAACGTTGGCATTTTCAACAATGTTTCTTGATTTTTTGCCATTTTAACATTATTGAAATAAAAAATATCTTACTGCTTATTAGAATAATTTTGTTTACAAATTCAGGGTAGTAGTTTGCGAAAATTCCATCATTACTGTTTAATTGATACTGCAGATCTAAATCTGAAACATATGAATAAACAACTTTTTACAGTTTACAGATTTAACAACAATGTGTTATAAAATGCGTGGGAATGTACAACAAAAGCTTTGAGATATATATGAAAAATATATTTACTTGGTTTTGACAACATGTCCATCCCGAGATTCCTGTAATCTAAGATAAAAGTTGCACCTTTGTATGGCTGGAAAACAAGAAGTAATCATATAGAAACAAAGTTTATCAACACAAATTTTCAAGCACATAATTTTTAATTATTTACAATTCATCCTACATAAATAAATGCACGTCATAGGATAAACGAAAAACCAAGAACAAAGGCAATGAATTATATGAGTAGATCACAATCATGATTGCCTAGACACTGGTACTCACCTAGCTACGCTGATGATACGTCAGCGTAACAAGATGGAGAACTTCCGGGCTTCGTTTTCGGTAAGATATTTTTATTTCTCGATTCTACACCACTTATTAGTCAAGTTGTGGACATTAATATTGCCAATGTAACAAAATTCATGAAGATCGTCAACGTAACAAAAGCGAGGGACTAAATATGTGAATTGCGTCTTCGTTAATATACCAAACATAGAACCGCCTGCATATTCTCAAACTAGACTATCTTCCTTAACTCTGAGCAAAAGTATTGTCCACAACTTGGCTTATAAGTGGTGTAGAATCGGGAAATAAAAATATCTTACCGAAACCAAAGCCCGGAAGTTCTTCCATCCTGTTACGCTGACGTATCGTCAGCGTAACTAGGTGAGTACCAGTGCTAGAGCAGGAATTCGCTATTACTAATTAGGAATTTCGTCAACGTATGATTACAGTACCTCAAAGTAATGTCTTTACGATTTTTTCCTGTGATGATCCTAAATGGTCACCAAAATTAAAATTGGTAGAAATTCTGATATATCTCTTACTAGTATGTCTTTTAACCGGCCTTTTATGTTTGTCCTCATGTTCTATTCAAAAAGTTCCCAATGACTCTATTTATTATTACATTTAGCGAGCATAGCATAGGTTTTTGAGTCTGTAAAAAGCATGGTATTTGTTTTGGGCATATATTCAATCCGCTAAAAACACAATTCAATGTTTTATCTGAACCTCGCCAGCAGTTCTGGCTGCTACCAAACACCGTCTACATGAAGACATCTTCGTAGTGTGTGCCAAATTGCTTTCTAAGTGGCTTAGTTAGGCTAAACCTATGTTGTGGTAGCTTACTATGAATTGACCCATAGTCATTTTAGATTGATCTATTATCTATTCATTTTTACTTGTCTGCAGTCAAAATAGTGACACGAAAGGGCTAAACGGCTTGCACCAAGGTGCGACCGTCAAAAAGATGAGTTTGAAAAATATAATTTTTTTTAAAATAATACTTGTAAGTATACAAAATAAGATGCAAATTTGATATTGATGTGTAATGATAGTCCATTCGGGTGTGGTAATTTTATGAAAAACAATTATGGTAAAAAATTGGATATTTATGACCTTAAAATGCGATTTCAATTAAAAAGTTACTGTTGTCAAGGATATTATTCCTATTTTATATAGTCAGTGTTTTTTAAATATACCAATAACCATTTCATTAGTTTTTGACAAAGTAAATAATTATAGGGCTCACACAAGGATCAACTTTGTTCATAGCATTTTCATATTAAGTGATGTTTTGAAAAAATACGAAGGTAAACTGAATTTTATTTTTTATTTGTTGAAGAAAAAACAATTATATGTTTGTTTTCTTGTTTCGACTGAAAAATCTCAATTCATCGCCCTTGCTTCGCAAGCAGGAGAGTCTACACCAGTACGAAAAAGTCTTCAAAAAGTTGATCCTTGTGTGAGCCCTACAATTATTTACTTATATAATGGTTATTCGGATATATAAAAATCATTTAATAGGTAAAATAGGAAAAGTATCATTGACTTTTGATTTTGAATAAAGAAGTATTACGAGCATATAGTGCATCACTTAGTTTATAGCTTGCAGACAGTGATCTAAGAGGCATCATCTTGTAGTAATGGGCGTGACAGTGATGAGACGGGAATTGATTTTATTAATGCAAGTTTTGACTAGTATTGATGGTTTATCTTACAGACGTCATATTAAAAGATACCAATTTGCATTACATCAACATCAAAGAAGTTTGATTTGTTCACAGATACGTGTCAGAGTGATACTTGTAGCAGTTGCACTAGATTGATATACAACAAGATATGTGTGAGCATTCATTGCAACATTTACTTAAGAGTTATAATTTTACTAAATCTGATGGAAGATTAGATAATCTATCTCTTTTGGTTTATTCAATTTGAATAGTACTTTTGCAATAAAGATACCTTAGTTTTGAAACATTAGCAGCAATTTCATTTCAAAAAGATCAGTTTTCAACTTCGTACTATGTTTTGTTCATAAAATGTGTATTCAACATAGGTCAAAAGTCAGGGTAATTTCAAGTTTAAAATATCAATATCTAGGATAGTTGGCATTTTAAGACATTTTGCCGATGGTGTGACCCTTCACAACTGATGATTATGTGACCTGAGGTAAAGATCAACTGAATGGGTGTAGGTAATTTCAAGGTCAATATCTAGCAATTGGGTGTTTTAAGGCAATTGAGAACAATTCTGACCCTTGACAACCGATTATTAGGTGACCTGTTGTCAGGGTCAAGGTCTATAGGTCAAGATCATTTCAAGGTCATCAATATCTAAATATTTGGCATTTTTGGGCTGAGGTTACCCTTTGTGAATCATGAATGTGTGACCTGAGGTCAAGGTTATTTCAAGGTCAAATATCAGTATCTAAGTATTTGGTGTATTAAGGCCCTGGTATCTGCTGTGGCCCCTAGCGACTCATGATAGGGTGACTTCCAAGGTCAATATCTCGCAATTTGGAGTTTAAAGGCAATTGAGAACAATTGTGACCTTTGGCGACCGACCAATGATTAGGTGACCTGGTGTCAAGGTCATTTCAAGTTCAATATCTAAGTAGTTGGCAAATGTGGGGCTACAGTCCTATTTAATGACCAATGATAAAATGACCAGAGATCTATAAGTCAATGTTTATGGATCAAGATCATTTCAAGGTGATAGCCCAATATCTAATTAGTATTTGGCGTTTTGGGGCTGAACGTGTTTTTGTGAAAACAATATGATTTTTCTTATGTAAAGTCCCTGTGATAAAAATGATATCATCCAACTTCTTCACTTGAAAAGAAAAAACATCATGAATCCCCCTCAACCTTTATTTTTCAACTTATTTTTTATGATTTCATTCTGGTTTGATTCCTTGACAACTTAATGATACACTACATGATTTTACTACTATATGTACGGGTATAAGCATCAAATGTGGTGCCACTTGTTATTAATAACATTCGTAAACATAATGCTTGAATGTATCAATAAATTGAAATTGAAAATATAAATATTTGAAAATATATCTGAAATATTATTGATATTAAATATTAGGCTTATTTTCTAAAGTATTTTTTCTTAATTCGAATATATCAAAAGTTCTTCTACGCTAATGAATTAACAAATTCTGAAAAGGGGACGGGTATTGAAATGCGATAAAGTTAAAAACCACAAGTTCCATGTTATTTTCCATTGGAAAAACTCAAACTATCCATTGTTTTCAACATAATCGTGGTCATTGAAAATTGATATCTCCAAAACTAGACTTTCATTACAATTCTACTAATGAAAAAGTTTTAGACCACTTGTTGAATAATATTTTCATGCAATTCAAATAAAAAAGAAGAACCTCTGTTGAGTAAATAATTTCAAAAAAATGTTGAGATGGGTTCCCCATTCATAGTTTTTTAGATTGTTTGAATGATATTTTTATAATCATTGAGAATTGAATTTTCTTGAAAGATAACATATTGTGTTTTTGAGAAATGTCATATTTATATTGAGAAAGTAGTCATGGTAAAATATATGAGTCAACGATCAGATATCACTTGCCATACTATACCTGGTCCTTTGCCAATTTGAAGTGAATTGTAAAATCATATCAGGAGAGAGGACATCCAAATATGAGGTCATTAGTTTAATGACTGCAATCAGTAATCAACAGCCACGAGAGTTACTTTCTCTAGTAATTCTGAATTGGATCAGTATTGTATTGTATTGTATTGTATTGTATAATATGACCATTTAATTCACACTAGTTTCTTCATATGCCTGGACTAAAAAATCCCGAATCTGTTTGGGTGAAATAACCAAATGTGACCAATAATATGAGTATATTTGAGTATTGTCTCTTCACTTTCCAGTCAAAAATGTAAGATTTAAAAATATTTTTGCAAATAATTGCAGTAAAGCATGCAAAATATAATGCACATTGGTTATTGAAATGTAAAGATAGTCCATGAGGGTATGGTTATATTATTAAAAACAATTATGGTAAAAATTGGGTATTTCTAACCATATAATGCTTTTTATTCCAAGTTCAAAGACATTCTTCCTATTTTACCTCTGAAATGATTTTCATACCACCGAATAACCATTATATCAGTTTCTGGCAAAGTAAATAAGTGTAGGGCTTACACAAGGATCAACGTTTTTTAAGACTGTTTATGTACTTGTATATCCCCTGCTGTTCTAAGAGGAAGAGCAATGAATTGCGATTTTTCAGTCAAAACAATGAAATAAACACACTCTGTTTATTTTGTTAAACATTTAACAAATAAAATTGTGTTTAACCTTATATTTTTTCAAAACATCACTAAATATGAAAATATTGCAAATAAAGTTGATCCTTGTGTGAGCCCTATATTTATTTACTTTGCCAAAAATGAATATAATGGTAATTTAATATTTTGAAAACATTGAATAGGTGAAATAGGAATATTATCATTAACAACCATGACTTTTGAATAAATATGGTATTTTCAGGTCAGAAATATATAATTCTTCACAATTATTGTTTTTTATAAAAATGGCCACACGCAAATGGACTATCATACTTATCAATACCAAATTTGCCTCCTATATTGTATACCCATTGTTATTATTTGAAAAAAATAATTTTTTATCAAACTCATCTTTTTGATGGTTGCACCTTGGTGCAAGCCGTTTAGCCCTTTCGTGTCACCTTTTTGAGTGCAGACAAGTAAAAATGAATAGTTGATGGACCAATCTATAATGATAATGGGTCACTTCATAGTAAGCTACCACAACATAGGTTTTTGTGATTTTCTGGGGTTTTGGCACACACTATCGTGCCATACATAAACAGAATAATAACAAAGCGGCGTTTATCGTCTACCTTTTATATACAAAAACACAGAATGAAATCTTGTGCTTAGATATCATTCGGTGTTTTCAAGACAAATATCAAGTGAGTTATGTTGTGCCATAGTAGTAGTAGTAGTAGTAGTATTTTTATTTATTTATGTCTCACGCACTAAAACAGATACTGTATATAATATCACGTTAAAACAATACATAAAAATTAAACAGTGCCTGGCCGATGCCGACCTATGAGAGACAGTGGAGTGTTACATTATGCTACGCCGTTTGGCTTGCATTTTTATAATTGTTTTACCAAGTGTTCGTTGAACAGTCTTTTCATTCATTATCAAACAGTATTTCACTAAACTTGTTTGCATATCAAAGTCATTATAATTTAACATTTTGGAAAACAGACTAGATCGTTCATTTATATATAATTTGCACTCAACTAAAAAGTGAATTTCGGTCTCAACTGACTGACCACATGGGCACAACCTCTGGTGTAGGGGAGTTGCGGTGTACCTCCCAGTTTCAATGTTTAAGGGCAGTGTGCCGTGACGGAGTTGAGCAATAGCGCGTCTCTCATATCTGCTCATTGATTGCGTAACGTAATGTTCTGGCTCAGTGCAATGTACTTTGTGTAGGCGATAAGTTCTGAGTTTGTTTCCGTTTGGGCACCCGTTATCATTATGAATCATCCTATGCCACTCGATATGATCATGAGATGCTAGAGTTTCCTTGATTTGGTTAATTTTAGCTCTGGTGTTGGGGATAAATTGCATGTCTGTGATGTCCCCCGCTCCTGCGTGTATCAACGTTGCCTTCGTGTGAAATTCCCATGTTTTGCGGTTTCCGGCCATTGTTAAATTAGTTGAATGTTTATGCACTTGCTTAGGAAGTCTATCATCGGCCATGTTTGTCAGCCGACACCACAGGCGACTTACTGCTGTTTGTTGATGTACATATGGAGAAATACTGGCAGTATCACCCATTGTCGCTGCTCGAGATGCCCGATTACTGACACCGAGGAAAATTCTATTGGCCCGTAGTTGGACATTGTTAATTTCCGTATATTCGGTATTCCCCCAGATTCCGGCTCCGTAAAGCATGATGGGTGCGACCATAGAGTCAAACAGTTTAGTGAAAACACGAGATGACATGCCTCCTTTTAATGTAAACTTTGATATGAGAACACCAAGCGCACGATTTGCCGCCTGGGCCAATGTTTTTACAGTTACTTTCATATCGAGATGCTCAGTGAATATCAGTCCGAGGTATCGGTAAGACTCCGTGTAGTCGAGTTGCATATCACCACATGTAAATATAATGTTACTTCTTCTAACGTTTGTCGGCCTAAAATGAATCACTTTGGTTTTATTTTTATTAAGCGTTATTCTCCACTGGGAGCACCAGACGTTTAAGGTATTGAGTAGTAATTGCAATTTAGTGGTTGTAGGGGCAATTAGCGCAATGTCATCTGCGTACAACAAAATTGCAATATTTCTGCTTCCAACTTGTACGCCCGCGTTCAGTGCGTTAATTTCTGCAACCATATCATTAACATATATAGAGAAGAGGGACGGCGACAACAAACATCCCTCCTTCAAACCATTATTAACGTTGAACCATCCAGTAAGTTTTCCATTTAGACGTACACAACAACTCACATTTGTATACAGGGACTGAACTGCCCCTAGCATTTTTCCATTTATTCCCATGTTTAACATTTTAAACCAAAGCAACTCTCTGTCGACGGAACTGAAAGCACGTTTTGCGTCAACGAATGTGACGTACGTCGACGCCTTAGACGACTTTCTATTGTTAATAATTGAATACAATGTATAAAGATGATCCTCACAACTTCTGTCAGACCTGAAACCGTTTTGTTCATTTGCTAATTTACCATGTACATTAAGCCATTTATTCAATCTAACATTTAGGATTCCACAATATATCTTGCTGGGGATACTTAAGAGGGTAATACCTCGATTATTGAGAGGGATGCGCTTATCACCTGATTTGGGGATCGGGACGATAACACCTTTATTCCACTCTGTTGGGACCGTGCCAGAATCAAAGCAATACGAGCATATCTTATGCAAGAGTGAGATACAGTGGTCATTTCGTAATACTTCCACTGGAATATTATCAACTCCCATGGCTTTTCGTAGTTTTGCTCGAAACACACTATCCCGCACTTCGCCAAGTGTTATTCCTTCGTTCAAATCCGGGTCAGTGCGCTCGTCACACGGGTTAGTCGTCGGCGTTTGTGATCGAATCTTATCCCGATGTTGATCATCAAACTTTGAATTAGGATCCGGATTATTAATACTGGCAAAATCATTTTTCCAAATGTTTAGTGCATCGGATTCGTTTGTTATCAAAGAACCATGTTTGTCGATTGTATCAAAATTGAAAGATTTACGTTCATTTGCTATCCCTATCTTTCCGATCTCTTTCCAAAACGAATGTTGATCTGTACTGTCACATAAATCAAGTAGTGCTTTTTGTTCATCCAGCTGATATTTCCTTTTCAGACGTCGATGTGTTTTATCATATATTTTTCTTGTTTTACAAAACTGCTCACGTAATCTGCGTTTTTCTGCTCCATTTTGTTTACATTTTACATATAATTTTTCACAATCATTTGAAGCATTAAGTTTTTGTTGCAATTCGTCGCACCAATATGGTTTATATTTCATTTTCTTGCCCGTTAAACTTGCATCCCTTATTTTGATTTTATCGAGTTTTTTATCCATTTCACTAGTGATAAAAGTATTTAGCTCAGAGTAGGCTAGGTCCAAGTTCTGCTCATTTGTAAGAATACGTTCAATGCGGTCAATTGTTTCAGCTACTGCTTGGATCATTGAATTATCCATATAGTTATTAGGCATTGGATTTGTTTTGAATTTAGTGTGAACAATTGCAACATTTGGATCACTCGATCGTGCTTCTAATTGCTGGTTACTTTTTAATGAGCATACGGCCCGCAGTAATGAATGATCTGGTAGTTTATCCGGTGCTGCCATCTCGTGCTGGGCTACAATATCAGTCATTCTATGAATCTCAAAGTCTGACTAGTTCATAAGCTGCTCATGTGGGACGAACATATAGTCCACTACCGATCTGCCACGCGTAGATACAAATGTAAAGTCGTTTTTTTCCTGATCCACGTCCATTTAACATGCACAGATTGCTTGTAGTAAGAAAGTTCAATAGAAGATCACCTTGGTAATTACGTTCGTTGTCAATGACACTACGGTGCGGCACAGAATCTACACCTTCGATAAAATCGGAAGCATCTCCACATCGTCCATTAAAATCACCGCATATAAGTAATAATCCTTCATTTTGGAACATGTATGTCTGTTGCAAAATATTGTTAAAATATTGCTCCAAGTCCACAAAACGCGAAGACTCTTTTGGTGGTAGGTAAGTCGAACACAGACATAATGAGTCACCACCTGATATTGGTTTCAATTTAATCCAAAGTGTATCATCAACTGTATCATCTAGAAGTTCGTACGTAAAGTTTGTTAACACGCGTTTATTTAATAATATACCTACGCCACCAGATCCACGCCTTGCGTTAGCGTTGACTGCTGTCCTGTTTTTTCCAATCCAAATATAGTTACTGCGGATTGGTTCAAATGTATTTAGTTGGTCCTCATTTCTTAAGAACGTTTCATTTACACATAAAATATCAATATCTAAAACGTCTGTAACTTTAGAACGAAACTCATTGTTATCATTAAAATATGTGGACCAGCCATTAACATTCCAATGTGCAATTTTAAGTCGGCATCGGTCGTATTCCTATTGACGAACTGCATTATTCTGTTTTCGGGCCTTGGCACGTTGACTAGGGGTACTCTTTGATTTTTGGTTGAGCGTTGCATTGCTTGATTCTGACACGCGAGGTGACGGGTTAGATTTTGGTTCCTCTCCAGAGCGATGGTTGGGGATATTGGGGCGTGATGTATCCTCGTTGGCACTTGTTGACAAATGATTACGTGAGGTAGATGAATCAGGACGTAGATAATTTGTGATGTTGTTAATCTTAGGGTTTTCCTGGGTGATAATGATATCCTGAGGTTTCACTGATTGTGGTACTATATGGGAGCCATTTGGTTGTGCATTATTATGGCACTGAGCCCCACATTGATTGCCATGATATGACGAGCTGTTTGTAGCAGAATGGTTTGAACTGTTAACATAGCCATATTGTCTTTGTTTTTGTACAGTTTGTTCAACCATTCTGCGCATCAAACGCTCTTGTTTCAATACTTCAGGTGATTTGGCAATATTGATATACACTGAATTATACACATTAGACGATTTTAAGGCACTTTTACGCTTCATAATGGTATCCCTATCCTCGGTTTTATTCAGAGGCACTGTCACTACCCTTGGCCTAATTGCTCCTACGCGGACAGCTCCAACTCTCCGTGCTGGACCAATATTTATTTCATTCGCCTTGAAACCCAGTCCTTTAGTTAATAGATCGTTGACACTAGTGCTTACGCTCTCGTTGGCTGACTCGGGTAGATTGAATACAGCTAGCTCCACGGGATCAAGGTTAGAAACTGGGGTGGATAGACTCTGACTCCGTTGCTCAATTGCATCAATACGAGCGTTCAATTCTGACGACGCTTTGTTTACTGTCCGGCTCACTTCATTGCGAATGGCCATTTCAGAATTGGTCACAACCTCAGTTGCAATTGCACGAATATTATCATCTTGTTTTGACATTGAGTCTAAAACTTGATTTAGCATTGTGTATAATGTATCTAGAGTAAAAGGGCTGGTTTTACCTTTGGGCGTTTTCAGCTTTTTGGGTTTACTGGCGCCATATTGGATTTCACAATCTGACGTGTCACTATCACTGGAATGTGCACGCTTGTTATTCCTTTCTCCAACGTTTGATGCCATCCCGTCGCATATATGGATTCCGTTTAGCGTTATGTGCAGTCAAATTCAATAAACAAGTCCATATGTATCTTAAAAAATCGAGAAAAACTAAAAAACTTTGGCTCTTGCTTGAAACACGTTTTTCTTGGTTGACGCATGCGTATAATAAATGATATATGTCTTTCATAATGCGCCAATGTCGTGAATTGATGTCAAATGATATTTACACGTCGCACGAAACTGGGGACAATTAGCGTAACATTATGGCGTCAAAAAAAAAATGAGCAGTATAGGGCGCAAACAGCCTTACAACGTCAAAAACGACAAGTGTCACATTTTTTACAAGTTTAGTCAACCTAAAAATAAAATACTTTATTCTTATCTAATCATTACAAAATTTACAGGGTAGCAAGATCTCGAGGACAATATTTCTAAAATGTTTTTGAATTTTGAAAAACGGTCAAAAAATCCACTTGGGACGTTAGTAAAAAATGATATGTATGGAATTTGTGGTAAAAAATCGATGCGTCACATTTTTTCAAGTCTCGAAAACCAGCTCTTATTTTGATATTATTTGCAAAATAAACAAACCGGTTATTGTTTTGTAAATTTCGCCATGACAATATTGTGCAGTTAAATTTTCTTTCAAATCAGACCTAAATTAGAAGGTTAAATGAAGGTAAACTTATTGCTCGTCCCATTCGCCTTCAAAACCTTACACAATTTTGAAAATTTTAAAAGCGTTCGATAATTTGAAATGTAGCCGTTAAGCAATTGTGACGTCATAAATGCAAATGTTCCATTGAATAAATTGTGAAATTTAAGTGGGATTTTGATCATTATTTCAAAAGTTATCTCAATTTCAACGAGCCCTGTAAGCGTAAAGTGTTACGTCTTACAGCGTATTTGACGATGTCGGAGTATATTTAACTTTAAAAATGTGTTGGATCCCATCAAAATTTTGAAGGAAAAATAATTTCATTGAAATGCGAATAAAAAATACTTCAAAATGATATGTAAAACACATAGTTGGCTTTTTAAATAAGGCAGAGATTAACGTTCAAAGCTTAGATAAGCCCGCATTTCCCGAATTGTCCCCAGGTCCGTGCACGTCATAATTACTTTTTTAAGAATGTACAACTCACTTTTGAAATCGCCTTCACTGCAACGTCCGCCTTTTCTACGGAGTACGAATTCAACCAAATCAAGTCTTTAACTTGACAACATTGAAGCAATCCTTTTCAAATACAAAATACATCAGTTAAAACTATAATATGATATGGAAATTTTACATGTTGTTTCGTGCATTGCTCCGTCCTCTTTTTGAATCGTCTAAAACATGAATGATGTTCTCTTAATTGTGCTTTTGTTGAATATATCTCGAATCGAGTGTTCTAAATAAATAAATGAATTGTGGTTCATCCCTATTAGGGTAAGTACTAATATTAGTCTGACGATGTAGGACAATATTGACATATTTGACCCCATAAGAATGACTCAAGACGGTTGCAAATAGTCACAAACATGCATGTGAACACTCAAACTATGAAAAATTGATCAGTATCCAATATGGAAACTAATTACTGGAAATCAATCGCTAAACAAAGGACAACTTAAATAAAGTTATTTTTGATCGAAAATCTCCAGTAATTTTGGAAATAAAATTATAGAAACGCAAAAAATGTTTTTGGACCCTAATATTGTGAATTGTTGTCAAGCCAATGCAGGTAGCAGTATTTATATAAAAAATAGATTTGCATGGCCCAAAAATAAACGACCCCAGGGTTAACAAAGCAGCTTTAAAAGCTTTTCTAGTGGAGCGATTGGGCTTAAACTGAACAAAAAGTTTCAAAACACTCTCATGTTAAGAGAAATATTTTTTTTGGCGCACAATCATTCACTCGTGTCACTATCAGGAATATTAAAAAAAGGGATCGAAGACATCTTTATTGTAAACGGAACAGTTACACAGAACGAAACAAAACATAAACCCCGGGGATATCTTGAAACTACCAATATGGAGCATATACCTTTGACATCCTGACCATCGTAGTTACAATACATTACTGGTGTCCCGTCTTTATCTTTTCCAATTGGAGGAGAGCAGTTTGGTAAAAACTTGGCAAATTCAGGAATCTCACGATTTTGACGATTTTCAATGTCGATTTCGTCTCGCCATTTTAAGCACTGTCAAAAAAACAAGTTCTTATAACAAAAAATGCAAATCACAATGAGAATACACGTGGCTGTTGTCGGGGAAGGGTTTCTAAGCAATCTAACTACACACATTCATGAAGATTTGTAAATAAAGTTGATATACCATAGCATTTATTTAGCGTCTTTATTTGATTTTTTCAATTTAATGTTTAATTTAAATTTCTCTTGTATGAATTTTCACTTTTCAATTCAAACATTCACATTTATTCAAATGTGCTCACACGGGAAGGTTCAATATTTTGAAGTTATGACCAAAGACAAGCTGAAAACCTGTTTTTTCCGAAATAAAAGTTGAGGCCAATTTGAATCTTTGCGACTTGTTTTGCCGAAACTTGTAGGCCTTACTGATAACCTATAAATTAAGGAACATATACAATTTCTAACAAATTGGTGGAAACTTTGTGGAGTTATAACCAAAAGATAATGGGGACATGTTTTCTTATCCAGCACTAGTGTAACTGTTTTAGGTAATTGAGACATTTCTGATAAAAATGGTATCCAGAAACATGATATTTTGAATAAAACGGGACCAAAAAACGATCCCTGGAGATGCCTGGATTATTTGAGGTTTTGGTGTTTTTCACTGGCCTGAAAAATGGATGGGGTAGGGGAGTGACTAGAGGTGTCAAGTATTAACCGATTAACCGGTTAACCGCCGATAATGCCTTGACCGGTCTGAGTTATTATGGGCGGTTAGTTGACCGTGTATAATTCTGTTATTTCCCGCGCTTATTTTGCATGCTAATCCGTTTGGTTTTATGGTGTCAGTTTCACGTAAGCTACTCATACGTGTCATAAGTCTCATAACTCCTTACAAACATCCAATCAGCAACTTTAATCCCTGCCACATTGCTCTCCAGCGCTTACTTTGCATTTTAATCTGTTTGTTTTTCAAGCGTCAGTTTCATGTGAGCTACTCATACATGTGATAGGTCCGATAATTCCTTACAAACATCCAATCAGCAACTTTAATCCCTGCCACATTGCTTTCCCGCGCTTACTTACATAGAATAGCGTAAAGCTTGACGAACGTAAAAAATAAACGCCGATATATCATTTTTCCAATTTTTTCAACTTTCAAGATCGAAGATGAAGATTTCATTTGAAATTATAAGTTCAAATTTCCCGCCGGTTAACCGACTTTAACCGGTAAAAACCTCCGGTTAACCGGTTAATGCTCAAGCGGTTAATTGACACCACTAGGAGTGACACACCTTTTGGACTTATTCAAGTTAGCATTTTAATCAAATGAATGGTCACATGTTTGGTACCATCTTAAAGCCTGTCACGTCCGCTTCAATTTGATACCCATATCATGAGGTCAGACGCTATATTGTGACGTCACGATGGTACCAAACGATTATAAATTGAAAATTAAGCATCAAAATGCGGCAAAATAATGGAATGACTCCACCATTGTTTTGCCGTTTTACTACTTGCCACAATCAACCTCACTGCCAGCATATCAAACCAGGCCCATTTTCCTTCAAACTTGGCCCAACTACTATCAGGTGGATGTCCTTCAAAAATCAAGTTGGCATGGTTACCAAAGCCTTATAGTTGCCATGGCAAACGTAGAAATTGGGTAAAACATGAAAGCAAAAAAACCTCCCAAACCCACCATAATGGCACTAATTTATAAAATATTTCTAGACATACAAATTTTCTTAAACACTTCTAAATAACAAAAATTGGGGGTAGGTTTACCACTTCGATTTTTGTCTAGGCTTGGTCAAAGTAAAACTACGAGAAAGCACTCATTTTCACTTTTGAATCACATTTTATCGCCCAAATGGCTATATTTTTTAAAGGTCAATGTCGCCATGCTAAAAGTAGAATTACGGGGATAAATCTGCTCTTCAGACACTGTTTAATACCCTTTCTTTACCACGGAACAAAGATCTTTGCGCTGGTATGCCCATTTCCATGAGATAATATACGTGAAAGAGGAACTAATGTCATCAAAACTTTGCCAACACGTGAAAAGGCCATTTCCGCACTACTTTTGGTGTAATAATTCCAACTGAAAACCTGATTTTTACGCCATTAAAATGGTTGCCATTTTGAAACAAGGCAAGCTTTTGAGACGCCATTCTTGGAACAATTGACACATTTTAAAAGTGAAACTATTCCAATTGTGGAAGATTTTGAATAAGCTGAAAATATGTTGACAGACAGACCAACGGACGGACAGGCGGACGTACAGACAAGTGGGCCATAACAATAGCTCATCATGTGAGCTAATAATCCAAACAAGACAAATGTACAAAAGCTTGTACATAAAAGTAAGTTTGATGTTGTGTACTTATTACTTTGAACTATAGAACAGTGGGTTTAACATATTGTTTTCCTACTTATTCGAAGCATGTTTATTTACTTCAAGTTCTCAACATTTTATTTGATGTTTTGAAAACATTTTATTTGATGTAATATTTGGTTAGATTTGATACATTTTCAACATTATTTCGAATATTTTACAAATGCCAGAGATTCTTGTATTTTTAAAAACTGAAATCACTAGCGATTGCTCACCTGTCGTAACATTGATTCAGCCTTTGTAATTTCAAAATCGCGAGCTGAAATCAATATTTGTGATGTAAGTGCAGCGTATGGGTAACATTAAAATTCATAATATGGTACAGAAATAACGCATGATCAAGGATTTTTTGTAACACATATAGTTTCAAGTATCCAATTATTGAGTTTATTGTTTCTTTAAGTGTAAAAAGCAATATTGCAGTGGTAATTAACTTAGGGCTCAAAATAACTTAGTCATAAATAAAGCTGTTGTTATTGCCTTTGGGATTTTTCAAAAATTGTATTGTATAAAGTTATACAATACAACAAACATTCAGTGACATATATACTATTGCTGGCCATAATAACGCAGATGCGAGTAGGTAGTTACCAGTTTCGCCACCAGGTGACTCGTTCGGGTCAGATAACATGGCGGGTATAGTAGAAAAATCCCTTTAACTTAAATTACATCTGTTTTAGTGGTTCAATTTTTGTATAACCCTTATGTATCTAATAGATATGCAAATTAAAATATGTCCAGTAAAAGAAAATGTTATCTGTCCAATACAAGAAAAGATACTTCACATTTTGTGATTTTGTAACATGGGGTCTATGAGGAATCAACCCGAACTAGAAGTCACATTTTCAAAAAAATTAACATGTAACGTACCTCTTAGGAATCTGAGCAAATAGTCATCATCGAGGAGTGGATTTGATGAGACATCTGACAAATGTTCTCTCATCTGAAAAAATTACTAAATAGTATTAGTAAAATGTTTAAATGTAAACACAAGTACATTTATACGAAGGAATAAATAAAAGATTTGGAGAAAAAAAGATTACAACACTTTAACGGGCTAAATTTCTTCAGCTATAAACACGATTTAATTCGATACTATTCAACTTATTTTAATAAACCATAGTTGTTTTGAAGGGTCGATTTCCAAGAGAAGTCTCCAATGCATTTATTTCAAAAATACCAAATAGCTGTGTACATATAGGTATAATGGTATAATTTGATCGTTCATTTGTATGATCTATAATATTAAACGTACTTACAATGGCTAACGCATTGGTTTGCTCATCACTCAGGTCGTTGCTGAAGCCACTCATCGTACTGTTTTAGATATTGAAACAGATTTCTGGTAACCCACTGTTTGTATGCAAAGTAGCTTTTACTAGTGTATGTTTAAATAACTAAATATATCATTATTAACATTTTAATATTGTTTTATATCTGCGGGTGCAATTATTAAAGCAAATAATAAACAACCCATATATTTTTCATATCGGAAATTGACAACGTGTTAAGCTACAAAAAAAAACATTTTGAGCAATTTTCAGTTTTCGATAGGTCGGCATATTGTCAAAATACCCCCTTGTATCTCTGCTTGGTGTTTATGTGATTGTGTGTCTTTATACCTTTCTCGATTTCCTGATTTAATGATATTAGGGAGTTGTTAGATAATGACTGTACTGGTTTTACCTTTGAAATTAATCTTGCTATGATATCAACGGATGCGAAGGTAACTTTGTTAAATATGATACCACTTTACCACCCAATGTAAACACTATACCTCTAGCTCTAATGTAAACACTATACCTCTTAGATCACATTTTATAAAACCGTAAGTTGTCATTTTAACGTCACAATTAAATAAGAATTCTGATTTTTTTTTACATACTTCATATTTATTTCTAAAAATCAATCGGTTACATTTTTACAAATTGCCATTGTTGACAGGACAACATTATCGGCAATTGAAACAATTTTGATAAATAAAAAAATGATATTCAGAAATAAACAAAATGTTCAGAGAAGCTTTTTCTTTTTTTGTTGTTGTTTGGTTTGCTTGTTCCCCAGTACCAAGTTATGGTATCAAGATTATTTTTGAATGTATACTGATACTTTTTTGAACACTGTGATAGACTGATCTCTAAAGTCCGGTGTCTCATTAGCCGTAAACGCCTGGTGGTTATTAAACATATCCTATTTATTTGAACCAAATAGAAGCAACTGACATAACAAAATATTTCTGATAAACTGAGACGATATTGAGCTTTTCAATTTTCACCACAGACCCCAGAATAAAACCAAATCCAAAGTTACATCATTGTAGAATGCTGAAGAAAATTCACATTGTAACACTTTTGATCTTAGATATAATATTCTTGTATATGTTCCCGAAAGAGTTAAACGGGAAATGATTTAATTGTACACGATTTTAAAAATAGAGGATTAAAAATGATTTATATATTTGATATGCAATTTTCAATGTGATAATGATTTTAAAAATACTGTGAATACTGACAAATTGTTAGGATTTTATAGAAAACTATTACATCTATGGAAATCAAACAATAAATTCAAAGACAGCTCTATTTTATGGCGTAATGAAAATATTAAAGCTACAAGTAAAGAATTGTATTTTCAAAGCTGGATTAAGCGTGTAATAACTTTTATATGTGATGTTTGCAAAAATGGTCAGATCATTTCTTATGATGAAATTGTTTCCTCAGTAGGCAGAAATGCTGAAACATGGATGCAATATCAAACTTTGAAACAAGCACTCAAAAGAGAGATGATATCAGAATATCAAAATGTAGTTCCAGCAGATACTTTATACTTCAATTATACAGATGTGCAGTACTTGTTCAAGATTTTAGGAAAATTTTAATAGAAAAACAGGTTTGTGAAATTGTAACCAAAAATGAAGTGTTAACAAGAAAAACCTGGCTTAATGCAAGAAATTGTACAACAACAGCAGACCTAATTATACTACACTGGAAGATTTTACATATCTATGTAATCTTTTACTGCATAGATATGGTATTTTAATTTAAATAGCTAATTTACACGGGGTACCATCGAATAATTTTGGCAACGTACCGGAGAACTACATTTTACTAAGAAATGGCAATAATTTAGCACAATATATTTTTTAACTAGAGTTCTATTTTGATTATGACAAAAGTAAGTATTCCATGCAATAACTATTTCATTCATGAGTTTGTAGGAATTCTGTTGGAACCCAGTTCTGATCAAGTACGAAGTTATTGAAATCGGCGCAGACGGACTTTACTCCGAAAGATGGTTTTTCGATTATAACTTTTCACAACATTTAAGTATAGACTTTTGAAAAAAGTACAGAATAGTCCTTATGCTTTTGAATAATTCTGTTATTTCTGATTCACACGACTCTGATTTGTTTAATTAAAAAAGAAGTTTTAAAAATATTACTTAGGAACGTAACCGGAGCTGGGAACGTAACCGGAGCAGATCAGTTGAATTATTTAATCAAAAAATTAAAATATATGATTTAAAGCACATATACTAATTTAAAAACATACGGGATTGTTCGAATGCGTATTTATTAATATATATGCTTTAAATCATATATTTTATTTTTTTAAATTATATAATTCAACTGATCTGCTCCGGTTACGTTCCCAGCTCCGGTTACGTTCCTAAGTAATATTTTTAAAACTTTTTTTTAATTAAACAAATCAGAGTCGTGTGAATCAGAAATAACAGAATTATTCAATAGTATAAGGACTATTCTGTACTTTTTTCAAAAGTCTATAGTTAAATGTTGTAAAAAGTTATAATCGAAAAACCATCCTTCGGAGTAAAGTCCGACTGCGCCGATTTCAATAACTTCGTACTTGATCAGAACTGGGTTCCAACAGAATTCCTACAAACTCATGAATGAAATAGCCATTGCATGGAATACTTACTTTTGTCAAAATCAAAGTAGAACTCTAGTTAAAAAATATATTGTGCTAAATTATTGCCATTTCTTAGTAAATGTCGTTCTCCGGTACGTTGCCAAAATTATTCGATGGTACCCCGTGATTTAGAGCACCATTTTGTTAAATGCAAAGCAGTTGCTGAATTTTGGACTAAACATTTCCCTAATATAGCTGCCAATCAAATATATGGAATAGGTATAGTAAAGAATTACAAAAATATACTCATAGCAAAGTTATCTATTCACAAATGGTATATTGAAGAATGTGTGAGTAACTTGAATACTCTTTATGAATTCAAAACCTCATCTTTGTACCATACTTGTAAAATAATTATGTTTAACTGAAATAAATGTTATTAAAAAATCGAAAATAATATTCTTGTGAAGTAGTCCATTCCTTCACTTATAACTCGTTGCTCCCATCCTGTCTGTAGACATCAACATTGTAAGCTACTCTCTTTCCTTTCAAAACTGCATTGTTTCTCATAACAACCGTATCTATAGATTAAGAAAATATGTGTTTTTGGTTTTATAATAAATCCTATTAGAAAAGAGTCTAGATTGGGTCCTTTAGTTATGTCAATATATTATATTTGTTCATTCTTCATATGGTAAACATATAATATCAAGAACATGAATTTAACACGATATCCCCGGGATTTATTTCGCTCCGTGTAACGCCATTCGGGTATTCTCAGAAAGATGTCTGAAATTCACTGTATTGTTGTAAGTTATTGATTGGCAATATAAGCAATCAATAACATATTGTAAGTGATATGGGAAGAAATTGTAACTTACATGTGCCAACCTTACTACATATTCTGCTTCCAGACTCTGGGCATACGTGGCAGTTCACCTTGGCCATTGGCTCGACGGGTTCAACTTCACCAGATGCGCCCTTAGAGTATTGAGTTCAATTATTTTTACAAATTAAGAGCAAATAGGCTTATGTTAACGTACGCCTAATTGAATAAACCTGTTATAGTGATAAGATGGCTCCTACAAACAGGCTTGAGCACATGGTAAATTAGAAAGTTTGTACTGCCAAATTCCTTATGAGAAAATGTACGTATCAATATTTGGTAGATTATATGAAGAACTGATTTAAAGTGATGTAACTGAATGGTATAACATTTTTATTCCATAGTTAGCATGATATTCAGAGGATAACATGTGAAAATAAAAGCAGTATTTTTGTAATCAGTGGTAAAATATGATATTTTTGACAAATTTTCACTTAACCATAGCATACGGTTTTTTGCCATGACATACGGCGCCGTATGCGATGGTTTATGGATTTTTTGCTACTTCAGACTCAAAACGAGGCTAAGTGTCAACATTGCCGGATCGTTTGAAAAATTCGAATTAAATCACTTAATTTCCGACGATTCTGATGATGACTTTAACTATGGAATAAAAAGAACATCCTATGATTTACTCGTGATATGATTTTAATCCACTCATGGATGTTGATATCTGCACTCTTTCGCTACGCTCGCTCGTGCAGTTATCGTATCCATTCGTGGATAAAAATCATATCACTCATAAATCATAGGATATCCTCTATTTATTCCTAAACGACTGTCGGATATTAGTTACTATTTTGGCGTTTTTTCATTTTCGACATATTTCTGCGGTACATCTATGTTTGTATTTTTCCTACAATGTAAAGCCAATGCCTTTACTTCGTTTGGTTGGTATTTGAATCAAATTCTTGAAGGTGGTTACTGACTTTGTTTTTTCAGCTAGAAAACAATTTAAGCCCCCATGTTAGAGTATAGCCACAATAAGGTGAGCTTTTATCATTCAGATATGTTAAAAATTGAACTACAGTGACCTATAATGTTTATTTTCTTAAAGTTGACAATGGTTAGTAAACTAACGTGTGTGCGAAGAATTTGAGAGAATCCATCCTCCTAATGCTCTAATCGCCTACAAGCTTATTTTTTCCAATGATTTAATCGTACTCATATTAATCATTCATTTATGATCCATATGTGCAGAACTATAAAAATCAATTTTTCTAAAAAAATGGCATTTTCCTACTAGAATACATGTTGATATCTTTCTACCAACTGTATCGTATATGTAATCGACAATGCACTAAGCTTACTACATAAGCAGTAAGCTTTTTCTTTGTATTAGTACTTGTACCGTCTTACATAAAAATAGATAAGTGCAAATACAGTTGAGAAACAAATAAAGTGGTCAGTAATGAAATTTGAACCACCAACCCGTCGCTACCCATCCTGTTTTTGCAATAAATCACCTATCCTTTTGTGTCTGGGGTTAGAAATTGGGATTTTCTGAGCGGTAGCTACAGCCACGGGGTTACAGCCACCTTAAACACATAAATTTCAATTGTGAGTACCCGCTCTCATCCATCGCTCACGAGTGGCTTCTTTGTCATTAAACTTCTTTGGAAGTTATAAAGACAAAGGGCGTATGGTTTAATATCTCAAAGCACTTTCTAGAAATCGAAACATGAACTGAAAAAATATCTGGCTGATGAAGCTATTTATCCTTTTCAGCTTTCAACATCATCATATTTGAAAGATAGAGATAATTGAAATGTTATATGATCTTTCCTTTTCTTTAAGACATATTTCGTGAATCTCGAAGTTCTCCTTTGTTTTCAAATACTAAAGGATGAAGGAAATTAGTGCAAACGATTTTTGACAGTTGATAATTTTTTGCGAGTAGTTTCTGGCTGTAAAAAATAAATGCATGTGAAAGACCAATGCAAAATTGTCAAGAAAAGTACAATGAATATTTCCAAGACCAATGGGATTATCTCATAATTCGTGTTAATCCACCCATTAACATGCATGCTTCTTTCAAAATACAATCGTCATGTACTTGAACACACATGTTTCATCACATAAAATATATAAATCATTCCATAAAGGGATTTACATGTATATTTGTTTGTTTTTTGAGTTTTTCCGAAAAAACAACCTCTAAAATTGCACGTTTACAGAAATAATTTAGAAGTGGTGCAAATTACCGTGAACATTGTTCAAGACAAGAGGTTTCATAAGCTGACCCTCGGTCCTGGAGTGTGGACGATACTCAGCAATGTTTCCGGTAAACGGTTTCTGTTTTTGAATCTCTCGATTTTTGTCGATCCTGTTTCTTTTCATTTTCTCCTGGATTTTGTCCTACTTGAGCCATGGTTCTATTTGATTTATTTTGTTTAAGTTGAACTCGGTTAGAATATCTCTGACCAGACACATTTTGCAAAGTAAACTAAACAAGTAGCAACCTTAAAGATGTAAAAGAACTGTAGATAGAATCTCAGCACTAGTGGTAAGCGAAAGTTTTGCTCACTTTTTGGGTCTGGGGCACAAAACAGGTGGTTTGTCACATTTAACAGCGTTACAACTGTATTGGGCCTGCTGTTTGGTGCATCACTTTTAAACTTCCAAGCATCAGATGTTGAAAAGCTTAAAATGACGCATAGGGAACCAATTTTAGGGCAACGATGTCGGTGAGATGGTTATCCGTAGACGACCATATATAGTTACCCTGCTACACATGATGTACTGTATCTCTGGGGGCTCTATGGCGGATCCGGGGGGGGCCCATGGGGCCCGGGCCCCCCCCCCCTAAGGTTGGCCCAAAAAAAAAAGAAGTTGGGCCCAAAAAATGTTTAGGCCAAAAAAGGCCTTAAGGCCCCAAAAAGTGGGCCTTTTGGTCATTATTAGGCCTTCTAAGGCCTTATTTTTTTAATTTAGGCCAAATTTTGAAGAAAATGGGCCTCAAATTTTCAAAATTTGGGCCCACTTTTTCGGTTTTAGGGGCCCAAAAAAGTTTTTTCTGTATTCTCAAATTTGGGCCCCCCCCCCTTGTTGCTTCCTGGATCCGCCACTTGGGCTACCTAGGTTCAATTATACGGATACAAGGAAATGATCATTACACGATGTTTCATGTCATGTAGAATGACCAATTTGATGTTTTCCTTCTTATCCCAAAACGCTAGGAATTGAAAATCTGGTTTGAAGTGTGCTTGAGTCCGTCTGGATATTATCATGTGATATTGTAAAATCACATGGTATCAATTTTGTTATGATAACGTTACTACAAGTTTTTCATTACAGGTCGTGTAGAACATCGTTGCTTGATTTATAGCAAAAACATTGACTTTGACACGTTGTTGGCCTTGCTTTTTTTAATAGATCTCATATCTTAGCAGTACCTGTTCAAAAAATCCCAAAAGACATATTTTACAATACCACTGTTCCACAATTTGTTACTTTGAAGGAACGTCAATGTAAAAAAAATGGATTCCTGGTTACGAATTTTTTGTTTTCTTGATTAAAACCTACTTATAAGTCAAGTTGCAGATTATATTCGGCATAAAGCTAGAAGATGTAGTCTAGTTTTAATAAGTTTCTTCAATTTGGAATTTGTTTTTGAAATGAAGCTGCAATTCATATATTTAGCCCCTCGCTTTCGTTACATTGACGATTGTCCGTTAAACAAAACGACATAAACACAAATATTTAAGCACAAGTGCCAAAGAGAAAGGAACAAAAGTTGTAATGGAACTTAGCAAGAAAAAGCAAACTCTTAGTGCATACCAGTTTCGCTACGCTCGCTCGTGCAGATATCGTGATATCCATTCGTGGATAAAAATCATATCACTCATAAGTCATAGGATATCCTCTATATATTTAAATCATAAAAAAAATTCAAAAATATGAAGTAGATAATATTACCTTAAAATTTATTCCAATTTCAAGCTCTCCGTCCTTACTTAGTACGACCCAACTGGAAATAACAATAGATACTTGTAAATGTACGACTATAAAACAGAAGTTGAACTTTAATTTTCGTTGTCATTACCAAATCAGTTAATATGTGATAAATCCGATGAAAAAATGATTTTTTTGAAAAGAAAGAATCACGACTTGTTTTGTTGCAGCTATTAAGATGTGTAATGTGTTTGCCTTTACCTGATTGAGAATCCCTTTGTTTCTACCTCTACTGTAATGCTGATTTCTTGACCTCTTCCAATATCCACTTTGGTGTATTCGGAGTTCAATTCATATTCGGCAAAGTTAGGTGCCATATAATACGATTCTGGAACTTTACTGGGATAGTTTATCTAAAAGTCATAAAACGCTATAAATATGTGTTTAATTTATTTTATTAGATACTAATAACAAAGCCATTCTTATATAGATGCAAACCGAAAACCTCGACGTATTTTTTATTTGTTTATCAGACTATTATTCGTTTTATATATAAAGGATAGGTATCGATATGGTGAACTGAATTCAACAATGTTTTTCTCTTAAACAAATTATTGAAAACATTCTGTAAAAAACACGGTCCTTTGTGTAATGCTGACCGATTGGCAACAATTTAATGCAAAAATTATTTATATATATTCTATATAACTGTTTTTGTTAACATTTTTAGTGCAATTGTTTTTTGTTCCTTTCTACCAATTCTTGAGAATGAAATACAATGTCTTTCCGAACCTTGTTGGAATAAAATAGCATACACAACATTTTCTTAGACCTCTCAATATATTGGTTGATTTGACAAAAAGTATGCAAAACCCCCAAAATAGATGAAAGTTAAGATAAACCTTTTATTTCAAGATACTTTTTTAAAATCAACCAAACTTTCCTTTGTCAAATGAGGTTCGGATAGATGTTTCATTTCATTCCGAACATATGATACCAAGAACAAAAGAAGTGTCTTATGTGTTTTCTAAAACAATATAGAGAAAAGTATATAAATATATTTCAAATCATAATGTTACCATCCAAAAGATGACCATTAAATTGACAATGTGTTCATGTCAAAAGAGCCAATCAGAGATCAATCAGTATTACAATTATACATCACCTTGCTGCTAAACTTTGGATCGCCATCTTCATCTACCAAGGTTCCACCGTAATAACCTATCAGTTGGTCTTCATCTATAAACTTCTTTATATCATTTGTATCTAGAATAATAAGGTTATGCAGTTTCCGCAATTCAATATCGCTCATTTCAATATTTTGAAGGCATCGGAGATTTGTTGTTAATTAGGCCACGTATGCCCCCCCCCCCCCCACTCTTCCAACAAATAAACAAACCCTCTTCGAAGTTTTGGGTAATAAGAGATTAGATGCAAAACTGTAGTTTACCATGTGACCTAATTGAACAAATTAAATAGTAACATCATGGTGAAGTATTAATACCTATAGTCTTCATCATATAGTCTTATTACTATACCTTTCAATAATTCTATTTTCGAACGTGTCTTGGGTGGAATAAGCCTCTTTATAAGTTTGTAGAATATGTTCACGACTATCGAGCCTGAAACGTGACACAATGTATATATAATCTTATTAGTTTCTATTTGTACTTTGATTATGTCCTTTAAATATAGTCCGCATCGTGTTAGCACGGATTCGCAATCCATTCCTTCATGTCCGTAATATAAAATTATTATGTGTTTGTTATCAATTATCATGTGTTTGTTACCAATTATCATGTGTTTGTTACCAATTATTATTACGTCATTCCATCAGAATCTTAAGTTGAGATAAAATATTTCAAATTACCGTTTAATACTATCATTTTACTGACAAACTCAGGAAAGTAGTTATCAACGGCTCCGTAAGCTCCATTTAAAATGTCAAGACCTGAAAAATAAAAAATGTGGCTTGAACATGTTTATTATTCACTTTTTACAGGCCTGAGATATACTAGACCTGTTGAATTATGGTTTAAAATGATAACTAAAATAAGTAGAGACGCAATGTGTATTTCCAATATAAACCATGCCACATTTGATGAATGGATGAAACTGGTATGAGGATATACATGGGCGTAGCCAGCTTTTAGCTATAGTCAGGGGGTTCGATCGCCACAAAAAATAAGGGTTTTCAGTCAGGGGTGCGATCATGGTATAACTGCAAGCCAAAAATTAAGATTTGTTATGAATTTTGCAAAAATTGACGCAATTGCAAGTTCCTTCAAAATTGAGCTAGAAGCTTCAAATAAAAAGCATTGTAAAAAATTAAGAAGTTTTGGTATGTCTTGTATTTTTGTTAATCCCACTTTTCATAAGTTATTTACATATTTGCTAAAAAGCTCTCAGAATGAAATTTAAACCAATTGGTGGTTTGCTTTACTGGAAATGAGAGTTTACAAAAATGAAAATTTAAGCCACATACTTGGTTTCGATATCATATTCATCCCAATGTTATTGTAATCAATAATGGCCGTCACTCCTTTGTATGGCTGAAAAACATTTGGACATTTAAAGTTTTTAGGTCATTCAAACCAACTATCTATTTTCCTATTTCAACTAAGCTAGTTTTCAATAACACCTTTTGGCCAGGTAAAACAAGAGAGTCAAGGTTTGTTAGTATACTCGTCGGTAAACTGATAAGAGTTTAGGTTCACATGTATGTTCTAGATTCAATAGTTGATCACCAATTCCCCCCTAACCAAAGATGTTTATATCACAACGATGACTGAAGATGCTTCGAGGAACCAATCAAATTCCTTGAAAAATCGTTCATACTTCGTGCAGTGCTTACTTTTGAGGTAGTTTTTGCTACAGCATCAGCCATTTCCATTCCACGGCAGATAATTGAAACCCAGTCCTTCGTTTGACAACACTGACTCAACCCTTAATTAAAACGTAAGACATTTGAAAATGAATGCAAAGATCACCGGGAGAGCACCGATGCTCCGCAATCGAGGATGACCAAAGAAGCGTCAATGAACTAATCAAATTCTTTGAAGGGTTAGATCTTCTGTCATCTTCGGATGCTGTCAGAACTTGTTACCGCATTAAGCAACATAGATACATGTATATATTCTATCAAATCAGGATATCGTTAAATATAATAAGGTAGTTAAAAATTTGCCTCGGTTTATCATGCAGTTCACTTAATATAACGTCACGTGGACTCCTAATTGTAAGAAGCAACGTAATTGGTCTAGATTACCAATACCATGTTCCAATCAAGTGTTGTGCTGTTATGGTCAGACACGTGGTCAAATATCATGCATCAAACTCATTTACTCCATCTGATCATTAATTAATCAAGTACCTTTAAAGTCAGCACCGTCATAATTGACATAGACAACTGGACTTCCATCTTTAGCTCTTCCAATAGGGAGAGATATCAACGGTGCAAATTGGGCAAAGTCGGGAAACGGAATATTGTCTCGGTTTTCAACGTCGGTTTCTTCCCGCCATTTTAGGCACTGTAAAAGCCATGTGTATTTTCAAAAACAAACGGAAAATAAAACATGGACTATATACATGATACAGGGTGTCAAATAAGTCCCGTCCCCCCCCCCCCTCTACAGCCAAAGCAAAGATATTTTGTACCAAGTGTGATGTATCATTGGAAAGGTCTTCCAAAGTTACGTTGATTGGCATATATCTGACACATGTCAATTAATCTCAGAAATTTTTACATTGTATCAATTGAGGTGACCATATGCCTAGAAACATGGCAATTTAGCGTATTTGGCACGATTTTAAGAATCGTGTATAAGAAAGGTCACGGGACCAAGATATGACTAAATATGTTTATGGCAGTGAATTTAACCTATTTCTGGATAGGGTTAGATGTGTAGAAAATAGAGGTGCAAGGAAAGTGGTGAAAACCTTTTTGTAACAAGTGGAATGTGAAAAAGATTAACTTTTTGATGTATTTCTGAGGTCATATCCTTGTCATTTTGACGCAAAAAAGCTACTTAAAGGAGGGCACGTTAATTTTAAAGGACATCATAAAAATATAGGTAAATTTCAACCAAAATACATGAGAGTTGGTGATTTAACATAACTTTGGATGATCTTTCCAATGGTATATCACACTGGGTACCTTCTGTAAAGGTTTTAGCTGTAGCAGGGGGGGCGGGGCTTATTTGACACCCTGTATAAGGGCGGCCGGTAGTTAGTGTACAGAAAAGTCGACGCAACACATTTAAATACGCGAAGAAAAGATTAGGGCGAAATCATATAAAAAGTAACCCAATATTACTATTTTATTCTAAAAATGTATTTTTCATTTTATTCTCATACCCAGCGAATGCCTGGGTCACATTTGTTCCGATCCATCGGCCGGCGCCCGGCCGATTGAGTGTTTTGCTCAATATTGTATTCAGTTTTGAACAAAATACTCAATCGGCCGGGCGCCGTAGTGAAAATCGGAGCAAATGTGACCAAGGCATAATGAAACATGCAAATTAAAGAAATAAACTAATTAACTAATAGACCTGAAGTAAACTAGTGCTACTGTCCATACCTGCCGTAACATATGTTCAGCTTTTGTTACGTCAAAATCACGAGCTGGAATTGTGTACAATATGCTGTCAAACGCTCTTATAATGAAAACAGGGTATTAGCAGGAACAAAAATAATCTTGGTGGACCGGAACATGGTTCACTTATGAATGCTCCAATTATATACGTTTTTAATTTGGTTACCTGTTGCAATAGTGCTTATTTTTCAAAAAGACTTTGTAGCCATCATTATTGCATAAACGCTTGAAGGTTTCATCTTTCAAAACTAATAATGTTAGCATTGATTAAAAATTCTCATTTTATTCAATCGAAAACAACAATGTATTGCATATTGATTAACCATTATTTTATAAAGATAATTATTTATTTCATTTGGTTAGTAGATCTATAGGGGAGTGATAAAATTGCAAGCAATATGTTAGTTGACATATCAATGTAATCCTTACAATCTAAAACATTTTTTTCAGAAGATCCACGATATGTTATCAATTTTTGATGTTGCTTAAGTTTCAAAGTGCAAAATTTGGGGGGGATAATTATGATTTAAAATATATTAAACCATATTAAAGAAAACTGAAAACATCATTGTAAAAACGTTTTCTATAGAAGATTAAACAAAGAATGATATGAGTCCAAAATATTCTTAAACTGAAACACTTTGTGCCAAGACACAAGCAAGAGACAAATTCAACATCTTGCAAGATCTGATACTACCTTTAAATTATGATGTGATCTCACCTCTAAGGAATCGCAATAGGTACTCTTTGTCGACTACTGCATTAGATGCTACATCAGAAATATTTTCCTTCATCTAAAATATATGAGGGTTATGTTATTGGAGGTTTTGGATATGGGTCATATCCAGAGGGAAGTATAGTTATCGAGGGCCCGGATGGACCGAGGTAAAATATCTTATTTTCCGAGGGATATATCCCATATTCAAAACCGAGCATCGCATAACTAACTTATCCTATGACAAGTGAAGTTTGACGAGTGAAATTTTCAGGACACCCATATCCAGATTTGTTTTCTTTGAAATGTCCGATTGCATTGTCATTATTTTCGAGAAATCCATCAATATTTTTGTCAAGAAAATTCTATTGTCTGCTGCATCCATTTTGACCCCAATTGTCATAGGATAAAGAGAGATTAATAGGTTCAGAATGAGATTATCTCGCAGCTAATATAATATACATGTATTTGCCTGGCTACGCCAATGAAATTGGTAAGTCAACAAATTAAAGTAAATGTGGTAAAAAACTTTGCGTTTTACAGCATGTAAACAAAGTACTTACGACATCTAAAGCCTTAGACTGTTCTTCATTGAGATCGTCGCTGAAACCGCTCATTGTATTATTTATTGTTTATAGGTGTTGACTGTTATACATCCACAGCTGCCGATTCCTGATAATTTGTATGTCCATGTATCGAAAAAATACTATTCTAACACGTGTTTATGAATTATATGTCAATTGCTGTGTCCTATGCGGGTACAGCGATTATTGTGTTTCAGGGCTTATATTCTGAATGTCAAAACATATACATTCCCCTCCATTATTATATTTTCTGAAAATCAAGGCTCGAGGACTATCACACCAACAGGTTGAACATATGAGCATGGGACACTCACGTATATTGAAGGAGTTTACATGAATTAAATGTTATGAAAATGAATCTATTTTAAGATTTTGATGTATGTGTTACTTTATAAGTCAAAGGATGCATACTTTCATTAGCTTTCATTAGCCTTTATTATTCCTGATAAAGGTGGATATATCGGACATCTCCTTCTACAGATTTCTTCATTTGAAGTGGGCAAAATCTGTTTATAGCTAATTATGACATCACAAATTGAAATTATCATCACTTCTATGTAGCATTCAAAATATTTGATATATGAATACATCTTACTAAAGCCCTATAAATTCCATTTCCATCTTTGGTATGCTACACATGGCCTTTGTTGTCCTAAATATTTTTAAGAATGTTGCAGTGTTCCATTTTATAGCTCACCCTGTAGTATGTAGTACAAGCTCAAACATACACACACACGTACGCACGCACGCACAAACACACGCACGCACGCACACACACACACAAAGTACACAATAAACAGCATTATAAATTAATAAAGTTTTGAATTATGACTATCAGATATTTAGTAAATATTAATATTAAAACATCAACCGCTCTATATAGGGGAAAGCCATGATATTAATAACCGCCATGGTGATTAAATACATGAAAGTTATATTTCCAATACAATGTGTACAAATTGATTTCTACATTATTAACAATGTATTTTAATAGTCATCACCAATAAAATCCACGAGGATTGGTTCTCAACAATAAAAGCAGCAGGATACACACTGGACGACTAGTATCATATACATTTTTCATTTATTTCATTAAAACAACATTTCTACATATCTTTGGTCATGACACCTATATAGGTGTATAATCGACCACATTTAAAATCATAAATCTAAAAAAATCGAGTGTTTGAAAGTTAAATACAATAAGAAAAAACCATAATTTGTCTCATGAATTATATCACCGGTAAATAATAATGTACAACATAGAGGATGGAATCACCTTATGCTTACTGAACATCAAAATCAATATTTTGATAATATATTTTCTTAAAAAAAAACTTTTTACATTATTAGTAAGTTTAATAGTGTATGAAGTTTTGTCCCAGATGATTCCACCTTGTACTTTGGTATCTTAAACACTGTAATTGGTTTTGAATTTTGTTAGATGAACTTGTTTTATTGTACTTAAACATCAGAAATAACCATCTAAGATTTACCCAGCATGCCTAAGACTCATGGGTTCATCAAAATGTCCAATCATTCTGTCGAGTTGTTTGTCTGGAAATACCAAGACGAGAAGATTGACGATTGAGCCCACATTTAAAACCGTGTTACGTTGCCAGAAGAGTATAACATACGTTTCGCTGGGAAACCAATGAACTCAGGAAACAAACAACGTACGAAGACTCATTTGACGAGTTAGAGCCTATTTGCATGTATGTTTCATTTGTCTACCATGTTGTGGCTGATGTTTCGCCAAGCCTATTTCAAATCACTCTATTTTTCATTGAGAATGTACTTTTCATAATGTATCTCCATCAAAAATACTTAAGTATATATAACATATTTCTATCACCTAAATACGTATGTACATATGAATCTTTAAACTTGGGTATTGTTCTTTGGACCACCCTGTATATACATTTTGCTATAAATACGAACAACAGTTTATCCATCCATCGAACGTAACCGTTTGTTTATGAATCTTTGCCTTTATGTTGAACGGGGTGATTGTTTTGCTATTTTACATCAATTTTCATCTTGTTATAGTTGTCTGTGTCCTCTAAAAATGGCAATTTTATTGTAACCAATCATGAGGCAACTTCCTGGCCTGCAAAATATGTTAATTCAAACTAAAAGCATTCACTTATTTTCAAATCCTGGCAAAGTCCATATATGCACGTATACAGTGTATGTATGATTTGTAGAATTGATATTCCAGCAAAATCGACACAATATCACGTTCTGCATTTAAAATGTATAAACACAAGTCTTTAATGTTGATTGTCAAAATGAGGCATCATGCAAACCATCACTCCTGCAAAAAAATAATTTAACATTAATATCGAATCAGAGTATATCGCTTGTAACCCGGGCTTTATCAAATAAAACATAATTTTATTCCATTTTATTTATCAAATTGTAAAGTATATAATAAATATGAATGCACAAGTGCCAAGGGGAAAGGCAAAAATTGTTACAGAACAAAGCAAGAAAAGAATACACCTAAGAGTAAACCAGTCATAAGGATTTAGAAAACTAATCCAGACTATCCCAAATTATGTACCACTGTTACTTTGTCCTCTGGAAGTACCGATCGTTATTAGGTCAGGGAATCAAGAGGAAAATAACTTTTATAAATAATGAAAGTAAATGAAATATCAATTGAACAATATGTATCATATTCCCTTTCAAACAACAGGGAACATTGAAATAAAATATGTTTCGGGTCAGATATGTAAATGTATACTATTCTAGTATTTCATTCCACTAGTACAATAACTCACCATAATGTTATTGCTCTAAAATCTGTAGTTTTCCATGTTTGCCTGTTCGGACCATGCCGAATGAGTTGCTCCGTCCATCTCTGTAGCAACTTTATTGTCAGATCGCAATGCATGACCAGAGCCCCCTATTGTTGATTTGCATTCTGGACACGTAGCCTCGACAGTGGCGCCACCGCAGTCTCCAATGGCGTAAATATGACCTAGATTAAATCATAATTATGACTAAATGATTTTGTAGATATCCTATATACATTACTAATAATACATTACTAAATATACATTACTACTAATAAAAATTACTAAAATCGTACAACAAAATTGTTCACTATTTATATACACTGAAAATAATTTGGAAGGTGAAAAGAAGATTTAGAAATTATCAAGAAAGTTGACATATTAAACTTTTTTTGCAACGAAGAAAGTACAAAACGAACAATTTACTTGAAGCAAACACATTTAATTGAGTAACATTCACACAGGGAGATATGCCGATTACTCAATTAGTACAAAATAAGTACTAAATCAGCACTCTGGCAAAAGCGCGCCCATGAGCACTCATGCCGCGAGTGCTAATTTAGTACTAATTTTGTACTAACATATGTATGAGTGCTCATTGAGTATTATAAAAAATCAATAAAATTAGCAGTATCTTATAACTCATCATATGAGTAGTCATTTAGTACTAAAAATGCAATAAATCAGTACTCATGTCATAAGGGCTCATTTAGTACTAATATTTACTGAAATGAGTACTCAGTTAGCGCTAAAATGCCATGAGTACTATCTTAGTTCTCGGCATTTCTCCCTGTATAGTGATATATTTTACGCTCCCCTCTATAAGTTTGGCAACAAAATGTCTTCATTGGATACAATGTCAATTTTCGATCGTGATGCCAATTTTATCTTAACTTTGTTCCTTAATTTCAATAGGTTGGATAAATATGACAAATTTGATATTTTCCAAATCGCGAAAGGCTTTCATAAGTCATCCAAGAGGGGACTCTTGGTTGCCGAACGTATGGAAGGGAGTGTACAGAGTATTTCAAATAGCTTACCATTAGCGCATTTGTACCAGTGTCCCTTAGTCAATCCCATTGCCTTCAGAATTTCAACCCGTTCTCCATCGCTGATCCCAAGTCCATTTGTTGGAGCAAGCTTCTTCTCCAAAATCTTCAGGTTCTTAGTTATCCTCGCTTCTGTGTCATCTTTTAAAGGAACACCTTTTTCCAATTCATCGATGCTTTGTTCAATGCAGTCGATGTACTCTGGCTTGAGTTTGTCCTTGACCTTCGATGCTTTGTAGTCAATGACGTAAGCTTTACTTTGTAGCTTCAAACGGGTAAGTTCTTTTTGGCACTCTAGTGCTTCCTGTTCTGTAAAGCGTTGCCTGTTCTTCAATACCCATCGAATTGTGGTTTCAATCTTAGTTTTTATTTGTCCACACCTCGCCCTGAAGTCGACCACGTCTCCAGTGGAGGCACCAATTGATTTGTGTTTCTGATGTTGAACATCATCTGCTAACTTAGTAAACTGCCGGGTGAAGTCCAGTTGCATTTTGACAGCGTTTAGCAAATTAATTGTGATGTAATCTGTGGGTATATTCACCCGGGTTTGCAAATCATTGCTTATGACAGAATCTGTCAAACTAAAATCTTTTATTTCTCTTTCAACGTTTTGTTTGAGGATTTTGACTTCATCCCTGCTTCCAATTATTTTTTCCTTTACAGCAGCGATGTATTTATCCATTTTCTTAATGGTATCACCGTATCTTAGATTCTTACGAATGGGTGTTTTACACTTCGGGCAAGTTTTGTATTGGATATCAACCGTCCCCGAATCATCACTGTACTTATCTACCCAAGCGTCCAACCCTTCCACCTCAAGTATGTGACCACAATCTTCAAGTTGTACAAATTTGGCGTTTTGGTCCTCCTCGGTTCCAAAAAACACTTCTCTGATTTCAGCTTTATCGCAATTGGGACACTTGGGTGGACATTTCTCGCCACATAGACCTATACACGTGTATCTATTCTTGCATTCGAAACAGGTGAATTTCTTCATGCAAGGACGATCACAGCGTGGCCTGTCACAGGGTTCACTGCAGGGCTGCGAACATTGGTGATGTTGACATTGCCATTCACATTTCTCTTTGCAGGGAGTACAAATTTGACCACATGGTTTTTTGCATGTGCTATGTATACACCTGTTCGTACATTTAGCTTTACACGGTGGACAATTCTCAGTACATGGCTCTTTACATGCATGCCCACAGACAAGCGTACGATCACAGGAGTGCCTACATGGCTCATGTAGTTTACCTCTTTGGCAGCTACCACAAGTCCCTTGACATTTGTGACCGCAGAGAAGTAAATCACTGCATGGTTGAGTACACACAATCTCACTCGACTTATCCATCTTATAACATTCAACCTTGCAATAGTGTCCACACTCGAGGTATATTCCACTTTTTTCTTTGCAGAGCCTGGAACAAGGACCCCAGCATTGTTCTTTACATGTGTGCCCACAGGAAAGTTTTTTACTACAGGGCATTGTACAGTTGAATGTAGCAGGGTCCATATGACATGGGACATTCTGGGTATGCCCACATGCAGGGATTGTTTTTATGACCCTGGTCTGACAGGTACCACAATTCTGGTAGCACATCTTACTGCAAGTATGACCCTCAGGACATTTCTTTGCACATGGCTTCCTGCACTGGAAATCTTCGTGGTGAGCGTCTATATTGTGGCAAAACTGGGGGCATGTGTGGCCACAATCAAGCCTGGCGTCACACTTCTTAGTACATCCACCTTCTGGAGCTTTGTCAAAATCTGCCGCTGTTTTCACTAGAATGTGGTTATCTTTGGGATGGTTTTGACAATATAGTTCCAAAGCCTCGCCGACATTCCCTGTATGACGCAGACGCCCGTAGATTTTTCTCCAGAGGTCACTGTTCTTTGCTAGAAGCGTCATGTTGCCAATAGCATAGAATCCTCGCTTTGCTCTTGATAAAGCGACACACACTCTATTCTCAATCTTGAGAAACCCAATGCTGTTTTCTTCGTTAGAACGAACCAATGAAAGGAGCACAATTTCATTCTCCTCGCCTTGGAAGTTGTCAACAGCGCAGACTCTTACCCCCTGAAAGTATTCCTTAGGCATGAGTTTCTTGATCGTGAACATCTGTCCTGTATACAGTGTCAGTATGGTTATCTCCTCTCGCTTGTACCCTTGTTGGATCAAATACTTGCACAGTTTTACAATGTATTCTGCTTCATGTGGGTTAGATTTGCTGCGTATCTCAATATCGCTTGTTTCGTGCACTGTGTGATCCACAAAGAACATGTTCTTTGCTACGCCTTTGACACGTTCGTAGTGATGCACTGACTTGTGATCTCGTAGCTCTGGATAGATATCAGAAACCAATGTTGCAATCTCTGGTCTCATCCTGTGTTGGAGCTCCAGACATTCATATGGAATCCTATTGTTGATCATTCTCTCAAAGAAAGATATCTCAAGGTTGTATTTTCTTGCCAAATCGTACACAGTTGGGTTTGGTCTCAGCTGTTTATGGTCTCCTATCAAAATCAAGTGTTCACAGCCTTCACTAAGTGTTGTCACAATATGGGATTCAAGGACTTCAGCCGCCTCTTCAACGACCACAATTTTAGGTTTAACTCGTTGAATTAGAGATTGGTACTTTGCCGCTCCTGTTGTTGTCATGCCAATAACTACAGCTTGTTTCAAGACTGCAAAGTCCTCTTCACGTCTTAAGTCGACCATTTGTCTCGCTTGTCTCTCGTATTCTCGTTCATAGTCTTGAATCTTAGACTTCAGACTATTCCTGTACTTGTTGATCCAATTTCTATAGAGGCGCCATCTTTCCTTAAGGGGGAGATCCCAAAGAATATAACAGTCATTTGCCTCATCGTCAGTCATAGCATCAGTTCCTTGAAGTCCCCTTTTCAAGGTTTTCTTTCTTGATTTTCTGTTGGTTTGAGTCATCCATCCTCCTGCTAGTTCATATTGACCAGCGTCTTGCATATTGTTGATATCTAACGCTAGTGTTCCTGCTGCTTCTTGTTCATTTTGAATTCTCTGCAATTCTTGCTGGCGGCGACGGTTCTGATCGAGATCATCCTCGTCAAGCGTTCTCTCAGCTGCTATAGCATCAGCCTCGTCATCAACAGTTACGTATTCATCTTCGTCATCATCATCGTCATCGTCATCTGGCCCTGCAACCTGCATTGCTCCCATCGCTCCTGTTAAATTATCAGTTGGCAGCTCATAGTAGTTATCCCCTACGCCAAGCCAATCCATAACCTGGACACGTTTCCCGGTTTGGAACTGCATCTGGAATGGGTCATTGAAAGTTGGAGGTCCATCAGTTAGTTGGTTGTAGTGGTCTTCATTCATAAATTCTTCTAGCACATCTTCTTTTACAAGTCCTTTGTGTGATGCTTCAATCAAAGACACAGTCTTGTCTAATTGCATTTGAATATCCTTCAACTGGTCCATTAACTGAAATTTCCCTCTATGCACCTCGATTGGTATTTTTCTGTCATTCTTCATTACCTGTTTTAAGTTCTTTAACAGAAATTTCTCCATTAGTTCGCTCTTACTCCTTCCACCTATTCGAACTATGTTGGTCTTCCAGAACTTGTAGATCCCCTCCAGAAACTGGTCGAGGGCGTGGTTTGTGTAACACACCACTAATATTGGACTCTGCTCAATATTTCCCATTCTATTCTTAGTCCATACGTCTCTGTTGTGTAGCAAAGCCTGTACGATCTTTAGCCCAATGTATGTTTTTCCTGTTCCGGGTGGTCCCTGAATGACCACAAACTCCTTAGTGAGAGCCATTTTTACAGCCTCGTATTGTGTTTGGTCAAGTCGCATTTGTTCCGCATCAGGCCATGTGTTTGTTCGCAACATGTTTACTGATTTCGCTTGACTTGACGCTACTCTTGTGAGTTCTCTCTCTAGTACTTGATCTACGGGATCCTCATCGTCAGAATCTGATATGTCCATCAAAAGGTCACCTAGACTACCGCGATGCCTTGGTCTCTGACGTGCTGAGGCTTTCTTGGTCACTTCAACAACTTCCTTAGTTATCAATGGACGCAAGTCGAACGTTTTCCCATATCCTTCAAGTAGATATCTCGGTGGTTTAAGCTCAGTTTTACATTCCACGATGTACCGCTGAAATGGCAGCTCATTTGCACGTATTCTCTGTAGAGCCTTTAGGACATGTCTGTATGCTTCAAAATAAGCTGTTGTCTCTACCATTTGGAACTCAACATCTGGGTTTATTTTTGCAATCTCATCGTGCTTTTCCTCAAATCTGACGTCAATGATTCCATCTGACAGTTCTTTCTCTTGTCTGTTGGAAACTGTCGCAAATAGGAAAGTCTGGAAGTTGTCCCGAGATAGGCATAATAGTGAACCGAAGATAAGACGCTTTGAGATACGCCATTTGATGTTCCTCATTTTGCTGACATCAAACTGAATCTTATGGTAAATTCCGTCTGCCTGGCACAACGGGGATCTTATAAAAACACGCTGATACATACGAATATCTTGCAGTTTCTTTTGTTTCAGTGAGGTCCGTTGGTGCTTGTATTCCTCAATCCCGTCTCGGAGTGGCTTAACAAAGTCCTCCCTCAGCAGGCGAAACTGGACATCAAGGTAGTGATCAATATCTTGGTATGCTCCCCTTGCCTTGTTTACTCGTAAGAACGGCCTTTCATTCAAATAGATGTCGTTCTGGGTTGGAAATATCGATATATCTCTAAAGTCGTCAGGTGGTGCCTCATTCTCATACAGTAGTTCTGTCCTTTTTCTTGGTTCTTCATGTGTGTTGTTTTTTCGCAGCGATTTGTATAACATCTGCATAACATCCTCATGTTTCTCTAACAGGTTGACATCGACTATATTCGTAGTTATCTGCAGCTGTTCGAGCGTGGTCTTTAATACGCTCAGAGGGACGTTCACCTTGGATACGCTGGACGGTAATTTATGAAGCAATTCCGTCATCAGTAAAAGAGAATCTTCAATTGCTTCCTTGAAATCCTGGTGTTTCGCCTGTGAGGTTTCCGTGAGCATTTCGGTGAAGTATAACACTAGAGGACCTGTAGTAAAGGTTGACTTTTCTATCTGATGAAGCAACTCTAAAACGAATGTATCAGCAATGGTTCTGTCAAGGCATTTCGTGATTACATTCAGTGCGAGCTTCATGAAATCAGGTCTAACCCGCCCTTGTTCAAGGAACTTTATAAACCCACTTCCTGGATTATTTAAACCTAGGATAATTTCATTTGGCTCCTTGTTCAGACATTCATGTAGAGCTGTAAAACTCATTGGGTGTTCTCTTGGTTTTCTGGGGCCCTTTCCGTTGCCTCGACCTCTTCCTCCTCGTTCACCTCTATAGTCGTTATCTCTGGCACCCCCGTAAGCGCCTTGCTCACCGCCTTCTATGTTCCGTCCTCCTCTGTTTCCATAGTTACCTCGTCCACGACCCCTACCCCTAGTAAAATAATTAAAGGATATTTCAAAAATGACTTCGCAAGCAAAAATGCATACTAGTAAATCGTTAACTGATCGATAATTGCTAGGGGATGTAAGCGATTAAAAAGCAAGGAAATATAAGCTGATCGTGAATGAATTGATTGACGTGTTTTTGTATCATTTACTGTATTTGCTTTTGCTACTAGAATGAAATCTTAGCTTGAAATGAATGTTTTTTATATGAAAGTCCAAATCATTTTACTAGAAAGCTATGAGGCCTATACGATGGCATTTCAATTCCAAATGAGTATAAAGATTTAAGTGGCTGTAACTTAGTGCAATCACAATCTACACTGGTGATCCACTCGATTACGCTGGTTACCGAAACGGTTCGTTTTGGTAACAAAATGTCGGAACGTTGAAGGTACGATTTTTCTTAATCATTGCGTACTTCCATATCACGTTCTCATTGGTTAGTGTGTATGCCATATACCGCAGGTGAATCTGTCATACACCGCAAGTGAATATGCCATATTCGTTGCGAAATATGCCATATTTTTGTATCGTGTTTACCGCGTAACACGTAAAACGAACCGTTTCGGTAACCAGCGTAATCGAGTGGATCACCAGTGAATCTACATAGATTCTTTCAGTACAATCTTCCCTCATTCCTTCTCACTAGCAGGTGTTGGATTTCCCGGGGGTTTCAATTATATGGGCGATGATTGTTACCTCGTTTCACTAAATGTCACGGTGCAGTGGCGTAGCCAGGATTTGGTGACCGGGGGTTCTATTTTTATATTATTCACAACCCCCCCCCCCCCCCCCTCTTCATTAGGGTTCCTCAAATAATACAATTTGTACATTTACACCCCCTCCAAAAGTTTGGCAATCCTAACTAACCCATTGGATTATGTATTAAAAGCATCTTTAAGTTTGAATTCTTATTTGTAAAGAAAAAACTATTTTGGGAGGGGAAATATAATTCATTTTAATGTCTTCATTAAGTTAAGTAGACAATTGAATTTGAATTTTATTTAACAAAAACGATGTCTTTATTTACGTTAAGCAAAGTCTGAAAGTAGGCTTTATCAAGAAACCACTCCCATTGAAATAACACAGGACGTAAAAATGATTTTCAAAAATGACCTTGTAGCTTTGTAACTTTAATGTTCACAAAGTAAAAAAAACAGGCAACGTGCAAAAAAGTCAGACAACTTATAATTAATTTTCTGCATCAAAATATATTTTGGTGAATCTTTTACTGAATACATATCCTGAAATCTGATTTGCCCCGAATCTACAATTATTTCGTTTGATTTCTGGAAGACTCTGGAGCATGATTTGTTTCCAACAAATCAACTATTTCGCACAATTTATTCTTTAACTTTGCAATGATTGATTTTTCTTTGGAAAAGTGATTGGTAAATAAATACTGAACAAATGAAAGAATGAATAAATTGAACAAATGCTTGTGTTTATAAATGATATTAAATAATTCATTTCACAACGTTTTTAATTATTTAACGCAATTGGTTTCGGGGACTTGCCAGCCCAAGGGACGTCCCAAGAAATATTTAAAATTTTAAATGAAATAAAACAAAACAGAGATGTACACATTTGAAAGAACATGTGTTTCATCAATGTTACTATTCCAGATATTTATTCGTCAATGTAAAAATCATTCGGAGTATGGGACATCTTAGCATTGTTTTCAATAACTTCGTATTGGACCAGAACTGCCTTCCTACAAAGGAATGATTTAGCTATTGCCCAAGAGGGGTTATTTTGTCCGAGAAAAAGCATCTTTTAAGTTAATTGTGCGAAATTATTGTTATTTCTAAATGTAAAATCTCATGCTCTGCGGTCTTCCCAAAATCTCACCCCGTGCCTAAGGTTGCCAACCGTTTTGAGGGAAATGTAACTTCACTATGACATGTTTTTAACAAAATAAGGCTCTCGTGTTCACCAAAACAAACATCAATTCATTTACTGCTCATATATGTAGTTTTCAAGTAGCACAGTGATTTAATGTTTCTGGTTATATGTATTTTTCCACAAAATGATATTTTGGGAAATCCTGACCGGGGGTTCGTTCGAACCCACCGAACCCCCGCTGCCTACGGCTGTGCGGTGTATAACCCAAACGCTCCTACATGCAGGACGGAGCGTTTGATTTACGCGGAAACGCTCCGGAGCGAAATAAAATGGCGGCTAATGAAGATTCCACTATGACCGTAAGTATTGTTTCTCTCGTTTCTCTTACATATCATATGTTATGGTGAAATATTATGCACCATTCGATGAACAATATCGTGAGGAAATATCTTATTTATTCAACTTCTGGTGGTAAACTGTTATTTGCTTGATCAAAGCTCCGTAGTGTAGATCGAACGAATCTGAAGATGACGATTTGACCACAAATTACGAATTAAACTAGTATTTCTATGAAAACGTTAATCTTTCTGTTAAAGTAGTAGATCACAAACTCGTATATTCTCATTTCCCAAAATCCCAGTCCAAATCCATTACTTGTTCTCGAGAAATCGCTTGTTTTCCTCAAAACGCTCCGTCGATTTAGAACATAATTTTAGAAACGCTCTTACCATTTTGTTTTGATATCATTTTCAGATTATAAGAAGAGTTCCGAATCGAATCGATCTCTCAAAAACGTGTTGTACTTGTTAGGCAAATTGAAACATCTGAACCTGGTGGTGCTAAACGTGCAACTAGCTGATTTAAGCCTACATTAGATGATGTCATGCCTACATGTGTGCTAAATCATAAAACTATAGAAAAAAACTAGAATTTATATGTGAATTAATCTTTCTTCTTTTGATGCCAAGGGGTATAATAGATCTTTTCTTTCGCTTCCTGAAAAGGAAAGGCAAGCTATATATTTCCGAAACTGATCTAGACTACCGGAGCGTTTCCAGTTCACTGTGTTAACCAGATCGGAGCGTTTCTTGAATATGAGAATGTCATCATTTTTAAAACTGGATTTTCGGTCATCAAATCACTATTACGATAATGTATGGTGCATTGGAATTTGACTAAAATATACGTTGGTGCTCTAATCTTGGCTCAACTAATCACATGTATCGACAAAAGGGGTTTTGACCGGTAGAATGACAAATACGTTTTTGAATTCTGATAACTATACTGCTTCGTACAGCTCTTCCTAATTGCTTCAACCGTCAACAGCCAGCCAAGTACAACATGAATATCACACCCATCGAATGGTATACTCGAAATATGGAACTCATACCTCTTATTCCCATTATTGGGGAAATCGTCAGACGGCTCATCATTCCCGCCAGCCAGTTTTCCTACTCCGGAGCGTTTCTTTATTTAATTTCAGTAATGAAACGCTCCGTCGTGCATGTAGGAGCGTTTTGGGTTATACACCGTGAATGTTGTCATGTAAAATAAGATCTTGTGAAAATCTTAGCAATTTGAATTCTAAATTTCCCGGGAATACATGAATAACGTATCTGTAGTGGGAAATGAGAAACGCACTAAACGAAGTGTTGCTAAGCCTAGGTATTGTATATTGTAATCATAGATTAATTATTAACCATGACATATAAATCAGAACGTGCCTTAATAATATCAAAAATACGTTAGTATACGGATTCGAATCTGACCTACTTAAGACTTATGCGTTGGAATCAATTAGCAAGAGTAACAATAGCATTCAATATAAATTAAGAGAAATGATCGAAGGGCCATCATGAGAAAGAACAATCAATGAACTCTCTACTAACTAACAACCTCTACTAACCCTAACTGTTGATGAGACTCATATAAAAGTTGAACATTATGTTCGATATGTTGAGTACATTCAGAAATGATACTAATTAGTTCATTAGATTATCACAGTGACTAAATTAATTAATCATAATTAAATGCCAAATTCACCTGTATCCTCCACGTCCACGCCCCCTATCGTGTGTTTCACCCGGATTGTGTGGAAACCGCCCACTCATAATTCAAAGCTGTTCGGCGAACTTGACGTATTCCTAAATTAAAAATATTTTAATCAACTAAAAAGCCATATATTGCAAATATCTTTTAATGCTTAATACTATATCTAATTAAGAAGAAAAAGGAAGTGACATTGAAAAATGATAATCCTTTTTTCTATTTTACTTGTGTATCTTTAAAGCTAGCTTTTTATCTTTGAATGATTGGGTTTTCTATGGTACTAGTATTGTATATTCTTTCGAATTCAAATGTGAGTTGTACTGTCAGATATTCAAATACGATAAATGGCTTCTTCGGAATGGTTATTAATCTCAAAAACAGTTTTCTTAATTCACAACCTTTATCATTTGGAATCACGGAACGCAGGGGCGGATCTCGGAACCAACAAGGGGGGGGGGCCCAAAATTTCGGTCTGAGAAAAAACTGGAAAAAGATTTTGGGCCCCTAAAATCAAAAAGTGGGTCAAAATTTTCAAAATTTGGCCTAAAACTAAAAAATAAGGCCTTAGAAGGCCCATCTATGACCAAAAAGGCCCACTTTTTCGGGCCTCAAGGCCTTTTTTGCCTCAATTTTTTTGGGCCAATTTTTTTTTCTGGGCCCACCCAAGGGGGGAGGGCGGGCCCCTGGGCCTGGGCCCCATATGCCCATATGCCCAGATCCGCCAGTGGAACGTTTCGAATAATAGTGAACCTCGATTCTCTGAATTAGTGATAAAAATGGGGGTCAAAGGTCCCAAAGATCGTGGGGTTGCGAGAAAGGAAACGCAGCTTATTTTTCGTAAAATATATGTGGCCTTGTATAAGTATATATATTCCCCTTAAATTGTCCCTTCTTAAAACATTTATGTAGGCCTCTGGTAAAAACTAGGGTTAGATAGAACAGCCCTTTTTGTTCCATTTGGGGTTCTTATTGCCCCATTACCATATTAAACCAACTTATAGTAAGAAGTATAATTGTGTGTCAGTCGAGGATCCATTTGGAAATAGCATTAGCAATAGAAATGTCAAGAATCGTATGAGCTTAATAATGATAAACTATACGGGAGATTTAGAAATATATATAGCTGGGGGATCGTCCGTAATTAAATCTAGCGGCCCCAACTAAACCGCCCCCATCCCCCCCCCCATGCTTGAAGACTCCACCCTTCAAGTCTCAACTGGGAAGTTATTTCTAGTAGTTTCATCACTCTGTTGTTTGGGTATTGAATCAACTCAGATGTCAAACAAGTAACATCAACATGAGGCATAATGCCTGCCATTCACATGCAAAATGTTACTACCTGCCATTTGTTACAGACGCCGACAGCCGAACACCATCCACAAAACAGTTGAAGACTATAACAATATGCCACCACTTATAGTGACACAAAAATCAAACCTATATCATTAGAGCCTTGAGAAATTGAAGGCTAGTACATCGTACCCTGTCAGACAGGCCAGCATCTGTGAATCGCTGCTTCCTTGTTTCGTACTGTACACTGTAGATGAGGTTTTCCTGTGGCCAAATTTCAGTCGAAATCCTAAAAGATGCTTTGTATCATCTGATCGTAGGCTAATAGCAATCCTTATCTTCTTTATCGATGTTCTGATGTCCGAGAAGTAAATTCTTTCAGATTCTGTTTCGTTTCGATTCTCAGAAGTCCAGATTGAGTCATATTACTTGGGATTCCCAGGTTTCAGTATTGTTTTTTCGTGCAGTGTGTGTATACAATTTTTATTTCAAAACCCGGGAATGTCCATTTGTGAAATACAAACACTTTGTTTTTATTCATTGATTTCACATTTAAATAAAACCACAATTTAAGAATATCCATTAATAGCATTGGGTGAAGTAAAAAATAATATTGACTTCTTCGAATTACATCGAATTCTACGAAATGAGTCAATTATTAACCCAATTGATTAATATTAGTTTAAGTTGTTCAAAATGTCATTTGTTAAAGAGATATACTTGCATTATGACATTGAATTTTTGCTTTTTCTTCTTCCTGCTACAAGGATATTTATTTATTTATTTATTTAGATATACACTTTTTTAACAGTGGCACTCTTACATTAAGGTGCATCTAATCGAAAAATATCCACAATGGTGGATTTTTGGTTAAAACAGCACATTTTATCAAACTAAAATGAGTCTTAAAAAGAATTAAAACATAGGTATGTTAATATTTACTTAAAATCTTATTTAGAAAGCTTTTTACTAAATTGTCGAATAAAATACCATATTCGTGCCCCCAAAGATGCATGCCTCATCTCCCAGTAACCATTTCAATTTTGTGTCAGTTGGGGCGCAAAAGAATATCCTTGTTAAATGTATAGGGATTTTATCTATATGTTTACGTTTGTTTAAAAGTCCGTATAAATATATTAGGCCTTCTTTTAAGTGTGAGTGTTCATCATTTTGAAGAAATCGATAGAAAGTACATGTATTATCTGAGGCCCGGGTATACAGTCATCAATAAAAAATCAGTCTTATTCTTATTCAATGTAAGTATAGTAATATAGCCTAGTAAAAGATTAATATACAGGTATACACCACGCATTACCAACTCAGTACACTAGGGGACTTTTTAAACATTTTTAACGTATTCCTTGACCTCAGTGTATTATATTAAGATATAGGACCACCAATCCAATGTCTAATAGGCTATATTTCACCTGGTATTTATAAACGTAACGATTAAATGATTCATGCCACTTTGCTCTTATTATTGTGATTTATACCAGTCTTTATATTACTTTATCTTATATAGCGTAATGGCATTGCCAGGCATGAGGCATTCGAGGCAACGCCTCACCAAACTTTACAGAGATATGATTTTACTAATACCCTTGTAGGCCTTTTCAACGAAAACTGAAATAAAAGTTCAAAAGTAGTAATATACTTCATTCAGCCCTAATTTTCCTCACCCTTTTCAATTTGCCTCGTCTATTTTCATTTGCCTCACATACATTGTATTTCTATTTGCCTTATCTTTTAACCTGTCTACTACCGGACTGTACCCTTTATACGTACTTCGACGCCCTTATTAAACCCATTGCGGTGTTCTTCTAGATTATACAATCGTTATATTTTAAAGTGTTTTGAAATGTTGCCAAACGTGTTTAGTACTATCAGTTGTCGCCACTTCTTCAATCAAAACAAGCCCATGGATAAACATGACACTGTTGTATTATCCCTGCCGAAATATACCATTCTTTAACTCAAAAATAGAGTGGAAAAGTCGGAATCAGCGAGGAATAAGTAAATAGACGTGTTATAAACTATAAATTGTGTAGAAATACCAAACCTTTTGGCAATATATTCATATTTAGACATGAAATGCAAATATAGAATTGAATGCCAATATCGTTTTTTCGTTTGTAAAACCATACTCTATCAGAATGATCAGTCTATTTATACAACAGAGGTCACGGCCGGCGAATGAAAATTCAATTTAGCGAGCTTTTATTCAAAACATTGCAGTTATTAACATGGATGTATCGACGTTATATGGTAAGTGAAAAAGTATATACACAGCTTCCTGTCCATGATGTCAATTATTAACATATAAACAGCGTTTTACGGGGACGTATTCTTACAAGAATGGAAAGTGCTGAAATCGTAATGATGATCCCTAGGGAATAATGGTGCCACTAATATTAATATATGGCATTGATAAACGTTGGCAAATGCTAACAACATCCTTCATTCAAAGGACTTCATTTATTACTCAATTCAAAAAGATGGCTTAACAATGACAGAGGGATATTTATAACATATTCTCCGGGGAACATTTCGGGGCGGATCTTCAAACTACGAAATACCAGTTTACCGGTGATTACCTCATCAAAAAATGTGTTAAATGTTTACTTTTAGAATTCACAGATGCATTTGAGGTAACGAACAACGTAAAGCAAACATTCGACGAATATGGATATGTAGTTATCAGGTAAATATACATGTAAGTCCAATTAATTTGTACTTCAGCAGCCAGGCCTAAACTCTGCCGATCAAAGGCAGGGGCGGATCTGGGAACCAAGAAGGGGGGGGGCCCAAATTTCAAGTCAGAGAAAAAAAGCTTGAAAAAATTTGGGCCCCTAAAAGAAAACCCAAAAGTGGGCCTAAATTTTGAAATTTTGAGGCCCATTTTCTTCAAAAGGCCTGAAATTAAAAAATAAGGCCTTAAAAGGCCCAGTTATGACCAAAAAGGCCCACTTTTTGGCGCCTAGGGGGGGCGGGCCCCCAGCCCCCCCCCCCCCCCCTAATCCGCCAGTGAAAGGGTTGAATTTATTAATTTGCTGAATTGGCGAAGTGACCTTAGTTCGCCGCCCCTGGGGCCCCTTTCAATTAAGAAACGAAGTCGAACGAATGCAAAGGTTAAGACCATCTTTAACATATGGGTTGAATAGTTACCAAAAAGTCGTCCATGCCAGCCAATGGATGATCGAGTTTGAATGGCTGACAATCCTCCTCGGTCGAATTCGTTACCGTATTGCAGTCAAAAATAATGGAATACAATATATGTCTTCCTCACAGAAACCTACTTAATAAGGTGGAACTGGAAAAGCTCAAAGGAACATTGGAAGGCGACAATGCCAGAGCGAAATATGGTTTTGCAAGGGATGATGGGATGGGAAAGAAGGCGAAGTATCTGTGTTGGAATCACCCTGGTAATGACGTCACTGGTTTGCTTGCGAGAAGTGAAAAAGTAGCGGGAACATTTGAAAAGGTACTCAAACTGATGTACATAAAGTCTGGCAGATCTATGACATATTTAATGAATTTTCTTAAATCGCTGAGCATTTACAAACGTGTTAAATGATCCAAAATTAAAGTTGACTATCGCCGTCAAACTTAATACGGGGAGGGGGTGTTTTAAATGTTGTTGGACGGTTAAAAAACTTGGAAACTAGGCCTAATTAATTAGATCTAATATAAGAAAGTTAGTTCTCATCATAATGATTCAGGTAAGATCGATCAGAGATTATATTTTTTATCTTTGGGTTGGTAGAGCAAGGCTTTATGGGCCATTTCATTTAGGGAAAATATATATTGGGTTGCCGTTTTATCACCATGCCCCCCCCCCCCCTCCTCCCCTTTTCAAAGTAGTCAGGTCTTTAATTGTCTATTTTATATCCTAGTTACTTGGAGGGGAGCTGTATCACTACCATACTAAACTAATCATGAAGGACGCTTTCGAGGGAGGAGCACACAATTGGCACCAGGATTATGGGTAAATGTGTCCTTTGTTTAAGTAGATCTCGTGATGATAATTTTTGCTTGAATTTCATTATTTTAATTACCAATAATGAAAAAAAATTCACATTCAATTGTAGTTATTTATCATGAGTGAAATGAATAGCTAAAAACAAAAATATTTTGGTTAAATCTGATTTTTGTTAATTTGATCGTTTGTTTGGTGTACAGTAATTTCCATGCCTGACAATACGTAAACCCGTAATTACCATTACGTTAAACAATGCCGGATACCCACTCTCCGGCGTAAGAGGAGGAAATACCCCTAATATCATAGATGAACCATGAAAGTATACCCTGCGTGCAGAGTCTAGTTAAAGCTATCTTTTAAGAAGTGAAGTCAAACGAATGCAAAGGGTAAAGAAAGTAAACTTTTACATGGAGATAAATTTATCAATGAATACTGATGCAATCTCTTTTTTCTCTGGTGTAATCAAATTAAAATAATTGTAGATATTGGTACCATAACGGGTGTATAAAGCCGGATATGGGCTCAGTATTTATTGCAGTAGACAAGGCGGATCAAACAAATGGATGTTTAAAGGTATGTACATATTACAAAAGGAGGATTGGAAGCCGTTATTATTCAAACTCGATACTTCGTTGCCCGGCGTAGAACAATTTGGTAACAAAATGTATTACTGAGGACTAGAACTGCCGAGGAAGATGGGAATACTAACATTATATTCGTAATGACCATCTTTCAACGAAATACTTTGTCCAAACCTTATATATTTTTACTAATAATATAAACAATTGATCAAGGGCCCTGCTGCATGGCTATAATCGTTGTGATCATTGAAAGCATTTATCTTTAGATAGTTCCCAAGTCTCATAAACTCGGAAGAATTGATCATATCGCAGTTGGGGACGAAGTTGGGGCTGACCCAGAGCGCGTCTCTCAGATTCTACCTGTTCTTCCATTGGTTCATGCCGAACTCGAGGCTGGTGATGCTGTCTTTTTTCACTCAAATGTTCTACACAGGTATATAGATTATGATTTTTGGGGAAATTAACATTGTTCGATATTTTTGGATGTAGGATGAAAGTTTGCCTAGGGGTTAACGTTAGTTTGGAGTTTTTGAAGTGTCATTTGTGCAAAGGTAATTTCTAATACTATCAACACCGATTGGGGTAGTTTGAGTTTCGTTCAGTGTATCAGATTCGCATCTCCCACACAATGCGCTACATGTATGCAAATTACCGAATATCTTAACACCCTTGATCTATGCATACTTGCAGAAGTGAGCAAAACTCTAGCCCAAATAGGAGATGGGCGTTCATAATAGCATACAACAGGGCAGATAATAATCCAGTCAAGGTTCACCATCATCCACAATATACACCCCTCAACAAGGTAATGTTGTATGATCCAATGTACTTGTTTTCATAGAATTTACTTTTTTCACTGTTACATCCTGACCCATTTTGGTTAATCAAAATATGGTAAATTGGCTGATCCATGATGTCAAACTGATGTCATAATTTTAATGTCACACAGCAATGTTTGTAAACTACATGTACAGTAGATTGCCCAACGTTTTTGAAATAAGTAATGGGTATACCCAGTGCGGGGGGGCGAAGTATAATGCATATTGCTCATAAGTCTTTGGTTAGAACAGAGACATATAAAACAGTTTTATATGTCTCTGGTTAGAAATGATGCATGTCGATTGAGCTGGTGGTTTCACGTCAAAAAGAAAATTATCTAGTTAAATATGAAAGGAATTTTACAATTTTCTTTTTGGAAATATTCAAGAAAGAAAGAGATAAAAAATTAAATGACTCTAACCAATATTTTTCAATTGTACATATTGCTACAGTATTTAGTCTGACCAACACCATTTACATAGAAAATGGTCAACTTGAGATTTCCTACATTGTCTAATTACAGGTGCCAAATTCAGCATTATTGAACTGCGACGAAGTGGCAAACGATGAAGGAAAAGATTTCTTCTTGGGGCAATCTAATGAAAACAAATCTCTTAAGGAGAGGACTGTTGATTAGGGTAGAAAAATACGACTTTGCGACCAGTCTGTGTATGACGTCAGAACTGTGCGTTCGGTAAAGCCAAACATGCATTAATGGCGCAAAATTCAACTTACTCCATGAAGCCCCAAACTTAAGCTTCATTTACTGTATTAAAAACACCTCTCTTATCCAAATAATAAATAGATTGGAAGTTTAAAGAGGTAAAAAATGACATAGTACCAAAGAAATATATTGCATCAAAAGTTAGAGAAACAAAAAAGATATTGTGGTGTCAACCACACTATGGATGATTCTATAGAGAGGTTTGAACATCTCACGATGTAGGGTGCTTAATATGCCCCACCTTAAATGTAACGGAACATCCTTTAGAAAAACACGTGAAGAATGGCTACATTAAAGATAATATCATTTATTGCAAGTTTGGTAAGCTAGCATGCATTTTTCTGTGTTTACATATGATATATATTGTGTGTATATATATAGAATAAGGCGCAGCCAGGCTCTTGGAATAGGTGAGGCAAATCTTATAATATAGGGGAGGCTAATTTAACATGAAATAGGATATATTGCTGCTATTCACGGGGTCTATCCAGGCCCGCTGACATCTCGAGCAATAAGCTTATGTTAGAAGCAGGGCCTTGAGAGATATAATAAAATTGAAATATAAAATTTTGTATGAAACTAGTAAGTGCAACTCAAAACAACTTCATTTCATAGTACAATGGCTAATTCAATTCCAGGGCAACGACGTCCTTCAACTATAACTATATTTTATCATATCTCTCAAGGCCCCCCTTCTAACATGAGCTCATCGCTCACCATGTCAACGGGAACTTGCTCGTGATATACGGGGCCTGGATAGTCACAGTGTACTATTGGACACATAGGTCCAGGTGAAAATTGGTCTGAATGTTATATTACTATTCTGTGAAATTTAGGTGAGGCAATTGCCTCGCCTGCCTCATGCCTGGATACACCCATGCATATTATATTTGAATACATGTGATACAAAGGTAAACAAATAATTACTACTTTCATTCATAAAATTGCACATATTCATTGTAAGATTTCCAAAAACCGCTTATCAATAAAGAAAAATAGTATTTTCATAAAACTTTTGATGTTGATTGCATTCTTTCTCTCAAAAATAGAGACTCTGGAATGTGGCATACTCTACAGCAGTGGTCAGTTTTAACAGTACAATATAACCATACAATGACCATACAATATAACCATACAATGATGCTATTGCAACAGTAAAACCTGTTTAGTGTTCAAGGTGTTCACAGAGATGTGTTCTCATTTAGAAGTGTTCATTTTTAGTGAATAGAATATCCAAAGCATGGGACATAAATTATTCACATGTTAACATTCACGATCACAGGTTTTACTGTATTGGTTTACAGTACAATTTATAACAATACAATGAGAAGCTTTAAAACAGTACAATGATACTACCAATTTATTTGAATGTCACATATAAAAAATAAAGTTCAACAATTAATATTGTTTTTATCAATTTTTTTTGCCTAGTCATTCAAAGGTTTACAGAATACTTCATGTATATTGCAAAGTTAGATAAACATGTATCCCTTTATCCATGTTTTTGGGCCTTGTACATGTAAGTGAGTCGTTTAGAAAACATCATGTATAATGCAAAGTTAGATAAACATGTATCCCTTTATCCATGTTTTTGGGCCTTGTAAGTGAGTCGTTTAGAAAACACCATGTATAATGCAAAGTTAGATAAACATGTATCCCTTTATCCATGTTTTTGGGCCTTGTAAGTGAGTCGTTTAGAAAACACCATGTATAATGCAAAGTTAGATAAACATGTATCCCTTTATCCATGTTTTTGGGCCTTGTAAGTGAGTCGTTTAGAAAACACCATGTATAATGCAAAGTTAGATAAACATGTATCCCTTTATCCATGTTTTTGGGCCTTGTAAGTGAGTCGTTTAGAAAACACCATGTATAATGCAAAGTTAGATAAACATGTATCCCTTTATCCATGTTTTTGGGCCTTGTACATGTGAGTCGTTTAGAAAACATCATGTATAATGCAAAGTTAGATAAACATGTATCTCTTTATCCATGTTTTTGGGCCTTGTAAGTGAGTCGTTTAGAAAACATCATGTATACAGTAATGCAAAGTTAGATAAACAGGTATCTTTTTATCCCTTTTAGATCTACTCACTGTATAATAAGCTGCCATTTTTGATATTCTACAACTTGAAATACATCTTGAACTGTGCTGAATATTTGAGTGTTCTGAATATGGTAAATCAATGACAATAATTATAAGAACTGTGACATTAAATATTCCTTTAGTGGTATAGCCTGTGGTAGAAATAAGCTAACTAGAATTTCTGAAATAGTGTACACCGTGAACTGTGTAGATTCATGTTTTCTAAATATGGCAAATTTATGACATGCAATGGCACGAAGCTTATGATACTAACATTATTAAATTGTCCATAATGGCAAATCATAATGGCAACAATAAATCTGTATACATATACTAAATAAAGTAATTACTAAATAGCTATTCATTGCACGAAGAAATGTGAATCTACTCGAAGGCAATCAATCTGGCGTTCGATTTAAGTGACAAGGGACAAATATGTCTATACCTTAGCCTTACATGCAGTTTTTATAAAAGTATAATTATATTTCAATATCCTTTTGAATATAATACTCTCTATATGTATATTACTAACAGAGTCAATTTACCCGAAAAATGACTAAGTAAATAAATCAGGTAAAATATCCCACAATGCATCATTTTATAAACACAGGATGTATTTTAGTTCCCATGATGCATTGCAATGTTTCCAATGCTGCCTAAGCTGCAATCGCTGCCATGAATGCTTTGTTTTTTGGTGCTTTGTTCTCTGAAACAATGGCAATAGGGGCCCATGGGTACTCCTTAGCTTGGAGATATTTCTGGAAAAACAATCCCATATGTATGTTATATTGTAAACATACAGTAAATGTCCATTGTTTTTTTCTTTATTGTTTTTTTCAACACATATTTTCCAACATTCTAGATCATGTAAGTATCATCTGAATGCACACACATTGATATGATGAGTCATGGCATGTACATGTGCTTTGTCCTAATGAATTTCAACCAATCAGTGATCATATATATACACCAATGAAAAAGAATACTTGGAAAAAGGCCATGCTTTTTCTTCACTTACTTTATATATAAAAGTTAATAATTATATGCTAAAAATGTATTTCAACCAATCCGTGATTATACACTAAATGTTCAAAAGCGTGATATATATGAAAAGATGGCCATAGTAGGACAGGGGCTTTTCGCTTCCACTGATTTTTTATGTTAAAGCTATTAAATACATTCTTACATGAGCATATGACATGCTGTTCTTTCTTTCATCAATGGAGGCTCCATTTCCAATCCACACAAACACCCCAGTCTCACTATCTCCACTGTCCAATAGGAACACATCCTGAAAGGTCAAAGATCAAGCATTACCCAATATGATGACCTCTTTGAAGGTCAGTGTTCAAATGTTATCCAATAGAAACACATCCTGAAACATCAAAATCATCCAATAGGATCACATCCCTGAAGGTCAACATTCAAAACTATATCCAATAGTAAAACATCCTGGCAAACTAAAAGTTCAAACATCATCCAATAGGATCATATCCTTAAAGGTCAAAAGTTTAAATGCTGTCCAATTAGGAAAAACACATTTTGAAATAGCAAGGACTAAATTACAACCATTAATTTCAAAGAAAAATAAAAGCTGATTGCTGCTAAATATCTAGCTGTAAATATTCAAGGAATTTATGCTAAATAATTATAAATAATATTGAGTCTAATCAAGATCAGATATTACATCATAAACTGTCAAATGGAACACATGTCAAGTTGTTTAGAATATATTACGCTTAAATGGAAATTTACTTTACACTGAAATTTACCTCTGAATCAAAGTCTTCCATGGTGACATCACCAGTTTTCCTCTCGGTGAACTCTAGGTTTTCGGTCCTGTCAGACAATCTAAAATATAGTGAACAAGTTCTAGATATGCATGTTGTATTATTATCCAACATTTGTACGCCTGGCAGCAAGACTCTGTTAGTATTAGTACCCCCCCACTCTGTTCTCATCTGTGGGTAGTGTTTATGGGGAAGAAATGGGTTGAGAATGGGGAAGAAATGGGTTGAGAATGTGGGAGAAATGGGTTGAGAATGGGGAAGAAATGGGTTGAGAATGTGGGATAACAAGGTGTGAGATACACACAGAGTCTTGCATAATGGCATAAGTACATTTTGCAATCTAGTTTTGACAATCGAGTATATCCTGTAATAGTGTTTGGTAAATTCTGATTCAAATTCTCAAAATTGGTGAACACATCCCTATTTTACGAATAAATGTATCCTGTATGTACATTGTTAGTTTGTAAGTCATATAAAGAATTGAAATACAATGCTGTCAATAGCCTGAATAAGTTTTGAAAAATTCTAAATTCAGTACAATTCTATGTGAATAGTACAATATTAATAAAATGTACAATATAGCTTTACCCCCCACCCCCTCAAAATAAGACTGAATTTAACAATAGTGAAAAGTTAAATCTATTTCTTACAGTTCTCATCCATTCTCAGTTGACACATAAAAACAGACACAATTGATCAAATTTTGAGCATAAATACAATCAGCCTAATTTGCTGAAAATGCTGAACATGCAAATTACTTATTCAAACCTTAAGTAAATTACAAGCAAATGCATTTAGAGGTGTATTGTATTGTTAAACGTAGTGTTTAAGTGCAATATTGCAATATAAAGTGCAAATTTGAATCAAAACTGTAAGCAAAATCATTTGCACAAAATTGTGACATCGATAAATTAATACATGCAAAAGAGGATTAATTACAAAACCTAATAATAACCCTACCAGAGATTTATTGATTTGAAGTGCTTCATCATTTTATATTACTAAATAGTAGTTACTTTAGTTACATAGGGTAGCTAGGTAGCCATAAAAATAGAACCATTAAATAGAAGAGCTTGAAAATGCTTTTTATTTGAAGCTTCTAGCGCAATTTTGAAGGAAATTGCATTTTGTAAAATTCAAAACAAATCATCAAAAAATATTTTTGCCTTGCTCACGCCATGGTTGATCGCATCCCCCCTGGCTGAAAACCAAGAAGGATATTGATGATCACACCACTCCCCCTGATTGAAAGCTGGCTACACCCCTGGTGGGCTTTGTAGAGACGTGTTCATAGATATAGTATGTTACATATATCAACTAGAACTGATTACAGAATAGTAATTATAACACAAGCTTTCTACCCCTTGGTGAAAATGACAGAATGGTATGGGAATGTATTTCATACCTACTGAGGTTCTTGGTACATAACGAGCGGGAATATATACTGTATCTAGCCAAGGCCCGGGGCGGGATGGATACACCATCCCGGTCCCGCTCCTGAAATTTTTTTTCACAATTTTTTTGAATTTTTTTCAAATTTAAAAAAAAAAAATTCCCATTTTTTCCAGGTATGAAAAAATACATCTGTTATGTACGGTCGGTTTTGGACACAGGGTTTATCCCTAGGGAAGTATGTGTATATCCCTTGAGATAAAACCTGTATCCAAAACCTCCCAGTACATAACCCTTATATATTGATATCTGAGGGTTTAGGCTAGGACCCGGGAGAGCAACCTCCAGCCCCAAGATCCAATATCCCCCATCCTCTAGGCTGTCATCTTGCGTTATCAAGTTTTGGACTTGTAGAACATAGTGACTGAGAGTGGGAACTGATGATGCTAAGCTGTGTCAATTTGAAATATGTGACAGGTGAATTGATAGACACATTTCATATTGATAAAAAGATGTCAGTGTAATCTATCAGTTTAAAGATACAAACAAGCAACACTGCCATCTTTTAATCCAACAATAAGAAACTTTCTATCAGCTTGGTGTCTGGATTTAGAACAAAATGTGACGTGAAAAAGTGGAATTGTCATTATGCAGATGTTCTATACAAATTGGCTCTATATTCTAACATCACAATTCAGTGTCATTTCAGCCCTGAATACATGTATTTGCCAATGAAATGAACACTGAAATGGCACCAACAGAACAGGTTAGTCTTGCTTCAAGACCTTGGACCAAACCTATCTACTTTACAACAGTATATTTGTTGCTAAAGTAGGAAGGGGTGGAGGTCCAGGATTTTGAAGCAAGACTATGATAGGTGAACTGATTGCATATAGCAAGTGTTTTATACACACGCCAAACAAGACCTACTCATATAGAGCTCTCTCTCCAGGTTCAGCCGTCTCTGACTCTTCAGCTTCATCTGTGTCATCGCCAACGAGGCTGGAGAAATCACTTGGCTACAGAACCAGAAACATATGTGTCACTCTAAGGCCAAAGTAATTAGCTCACTTGGTGCTGTTTTTTGTTTGTTTAACACAACACAAATTAAACAGGCCAGGGTAAATTGAAATTTGGTTTTTGGTACATGATACTTGTTTTTTTAAGTTTAGCAGAGCTAAATTTTGTAAAATTATTGTTCAAATACATATAACATTTTTGAATGTGATAAATCAGGTCTTTTTCTTTACAAAGTTATGAACAAAACCAATGTTATGCTCTTTTGTAAGCCTCTAACAGTTCAATGTATATAATAATGCACATTTAATTTAAATAGAAATAATAAAAAACAAATATGAATGTACAATATAACCAAAATCAAACAATTAAAAGTGTAATTTTTAGTCAAAACATAATGATCACCAGCTCAAATCTGAAAATAATTACATAGCATGCAAGTCCCCTAAAAGAAGAATGGACGTTTTTATTGGTTTTCAAAAAGGGCAGGGAATTCCCATAATCCAACAACTGAACATTACATTGCGGGACTACCTTACTACTTATTGGTTGGGTGTGCTTCTTATTGTACTTACAGACACAAAATGTTTTTATTGCAACATCACAAAATATATCCAGGAACTAAAAAAGGGAAGGGGACAGTTAACCCTTCCCATCCCAATTCAGAAAATAATGATCTGGGATTGAGAGGGTTAATGTGCAAGCAAGCTAAAGCAGATTGACAAATTACAAAATGCCAAAAAATGTTATCAAAATTATTCCGAATAACAAGCAATTAATGCTTTCACAATAATTCCAAACTAAAAAAAAAAAAAAAATTAAAACAAATACCAACGATTATGAAATCCTTTATTTGTGATTTGTCAATTAGCTTACAATCTAAAAACTTAACAACTTTTGCAAAAAACAAGCGGAATTCTACATACTGCATTAAAACTTTTTCAGTGCTGCCATCTACGACATCTTCACCCTCGGCCTCATCATCACCAAGTTTCTCAGTGAGCTGAGCTTCCTAAAACGCCATCTATATGAATGAATGTTTGTGCAAAAAAGATCCATGGACTTCGGTGTTTAGAAGAAATAGCAAAAAAATATAAAAACGTTACAGAATATAATATCACCATTACAAATGTATATCATTTTGGGGATTTTATCATTTCTGACAAACAGATCAGATTAAACTTAAATGGTTTATCTAATTTTTTATCAATTTTGCTTAAGGGATATAACAATATGCATTCAAAATATTCTAAAATTGTGCATGTTTTTACTATTTCATTGTGATCTGAACCATGTACATGCATTAATGTATGCCCTAGCTAATGAAATCTATGATCCGATGCTAAAACTCAACATTGACATATTTGGCAAATCTCATTCACAGCTTCGTCCTGGTCAAAGTCCTTCAGATCCTTGCCTAACAAATGATCAATTTTTAGACTTATATATATATTCCCTTTTAATATTTTTGGGTTGCAGGTTGGATGCATTAATTGAAGCTTTTATGATTATGCAGATATATATTCTGAACTTGTGGTCAAATTAATATATCAAACATCTAAATCAAAAGCAACACTATAAAAACATAAAACTATAGATTATATATGGAAATACTACATAACTAAAATACATATTGAAACAAAATACATTGTAAGTATACTGTATATTTAACACAAGGCATTAACATGACAAAATGTCACCACCTAGTTGCTCACGATATAATGTGTTCAATCTTAAGTCAGATTTGAATTTCTGAGATCTTGTAAATGATTTTGAAAAAAATAAATTGGTCAATTGATAAAAGACTTCCTTGATCCTGAGAAGGTCATTGAAGGCGAAATCTCAAATCTAAAATCAGATTTGAACTTCTGAGAACAATTTGAAGCAAGGTGTAAAAAGAACTTTTTGAGATTTGAACTTCTGATAACTTGTATATGATTTTGAAAAAATGGTCAATTTCAAGCAAGTCGAAAAAAGACCTTTTTGACCTTTAAAAGGTCAAATCTTAAATATAAAGTCAGATTTGAACTTCTGAAAACATGAAGATGATTTTGAAAAAATTGAAGTCTGTCTACAGTATTTGTTACGTTATTGGAAGAATTTGTTACAGACGCCAATTGCCAACCACCAACCACTGACCAGCGGAAAAAAAAACGGAGACCATAACAATATGTCACCACTTTTTGGAGGTGACATAATCATATTGAAAACTAATTTATTTTAGCTCTTGAAACTTGTTAAATTCTTTGAAGATTTTTTGAAAAAATTGAAGTTGAATTGTTTATGTAGTAATGTATCAAAGACTATAGAAATGGCATATACAAAATATTCAATAAAACACATTTTATCAGTAAAATATTTAGTGTATCATCAAAAATATTGGAGAAAATATGCGGATTCCTTTGAGGATGGCGGAAAAAATTGATATCAGCAAGGGAAAAAGTAAACAGGCATGCAGTTAACACTGAACTGCATATAAATGAAAATATCAGTAACTCAATCAAATTCTACAGAAGAAAGGCTCAAAACTTGTGACGTTTTAAAATCAACAGTACAGTAGAAGAGTAGAATCAAAAAGGAATTTAGTAAATTGACCTTGAGAAGGTCATTGAAGGTCAAATCTCAGATTTGAACTTCCGATAACTTGTGGATGATTTTGAAAAAAAAATTGGTCAATTTTAAGCAAGATGACCTTTTTGGACACTAATCTGTAAAGAAATGCCAAAAAATTATGCTCTTCAATCAACTTTTACAGAGAAAAGTGTGAAAACAATGTGACCACAACTAAAAGTGAAATTTAGCAGATGGACTAACCTCTTCATCTCCCTCATCCACTGTGGTAGCTTCAGCCTGGCCATTCCTCTCAGCCTTCAAGGTCTCTAAGAACTGAGCCGCCTGAAGATAAAAAAAATTCAGATAAATCCCTCGCACTGTTTGGCTTGAAACCTGTAGACATGATTAATCGGGATGTCTGCCTGCCTGACCAACCACCCATCCAACTGACCACCCTCCGGGCAAACAGATCACAAAATAGCAACCAAGGATGCAAGGAGACAAAAAAATATCCCAGAATCCATAGATGAACCTTGCAGCAGCCTAGCAGTTAGTTATGCTATGTAGAGATACAGCTCATCTATGAATTCCACCTCTTGTACTAAATATAAACAAAAACTACTCTTATACCTACATGTAATCATAATCCACTTGGAGTCATAATATTGTAACATGTTCACAAATGTGTAGCTGAAAAAGGGATTTCAAACTTGCTACATGTATAGCCATTCCAATTAAAATATCAGTTTTTTAAAATTAATTTAATGATAACTTCATATCTGTCAGTTGCACTGCACTTTTTCGATACCTTGGTCAAACCAATTTTATTGTATGCCTCTGAGATATGGTACAGAAAGAAGCATGCAGAAGCCATTGAGGCAATACACTTATCACTTCTTAAATGTTTGCTTGGCGCTGCACCGGTCATTTAAGGGGATGCTAGGACACTATCCTTTAAAAATTTGGTTTTTGATTAAATATTGGATCACGATGAAAGCTTATGATTGGATGCATGTAATGTAACCATGGGAGCTTTAGAAAAGAGCTTTAGAATGATTTTTATTTGAAACTTCTAGCTCAATTTTGAAGGAAGTTACATCAATTTTTGTAAAATTCAAAATAAATCTTATTTTTTGGCTCACCCCTTGACTGAAAACCTGTGGGTTCTCTTGGATCACTAAATGCAACCTATAACCACCATGGTATCTCAAGACTGAGAAGAAATGAGATTTCATGATGGTTAATCATGATGGTGTACCAATGTAAAACCTCCTCATTATTTCCTAGATCCTCCCTAGAGAGGTTCATTCATAGTTCAATGTAAGAGTGTAAATAAATGGATACAGAGACAAAACAAGAAAGATTTTCTGCTACAGCTTTAAATTGCCTTACAAGATATCAATTCAAACACATATGCAGAATGATGGTGAACCAGTGGTGAACACCTTTCCTTAAAATAACAGGCCAGTTAATGATAATATTTGCAAGGGTCTTATATTGATTAGTGGTCTATGCTAACACTATCCACATTCTAGACATTCAATTCACACATATGCTCTTGGACTATATGGAAATACTGCTAGTAAGTACTGTGAGTACATTACATATACCTTCATTTGTACACATCTTTTTACAATGGGCAGTTCCAGTAACAGCGAGGTGGAACTCCTGGTTACAGCTGGAAAATAACATTTTGGGAAAAAATTGCTATACCTGCACATGTTATTTTCGGGTACAAAATTAAGTATGAAGGCATGTGTGTATTTCCTTCCTTTTTTCAGGAAAGTATCATCACATTGTCTACTTTTAGTAAACCTGGAAACAGGTCAAAACTTCAAAAGAAAATTTGGAAAGATAGAAAGCGTGGAATATTAGAATATCCTGGAGTTCCCATTGAACTCTGACCAGATTTACTAAAAGAAGACAATGTAATGATACTTTCCTGAAAAAAGCAAGAAAATTAACACATGCCTTCATACTTTATTTTGTACCAGAAAATAACATGTGCAGGTATAGCAATTTTTTCCCAAAATGTTATTTTCCAGCTGAACCCTAAATGGTTCGAGAACTTTTTATTTGCATTAATTCACACCATCTTGGAAGTTAAACATTCTAATATTTGGACCTCCTCAAGGTCAAATTAAATTCTAATGGTTGGCTAAAGTTTCTCCTCTTGTTGATCTTAATGATCATAATGTATAATGTCATGTTAGAAAAGTCCACTTAACTTACTATCTTTCACAAAATCAGATCCTTACAAACTGAAGGTTGAAGGGTCTAAATTTTGTCAAAACAAAATAATTCAAATAAAAGTAGTTGTAAGCAATGGAAAATGAGCATTAGGGAGGAATCAAGAGTTAGTTTTAGGTAGGATTGTTTGAAAAAAAGACTATGTAACATGACATATAACTCCATAACATAATTATAACACCTTTTACTAGTGTAATATGCACCAATTAGGTGTTACATGTACTCACAAACACTCAAATGTCAAGTTCATGAGTCCATGTTCAAGGCATTGTGTGTTATCAAAACCTGATTATACCAGCCAAATCAGATGTACATGACAGTAAGCACCAATTATTGAAGTTCAGGATATCATACTCTTTTCATTAGTGATTTAAAAGAGAATGTTATCTATACATTTACCCTCAAATCATTGTGACATGGAACTTCTCTCAAAGTCCAGCAGCCATGCAATTTGACAACACACTGGGCATTCATTTAAACCTATACCTCTCTCCAAAACGCAATATGTGAACATCATTTTTTTTCCATTTTCAAACGACCGAAGAAATGCTTAAATTTAGGTTTGACATAGATATAAATGTTTTTTTAGCGTAAAATCAAAGCATAACCATTAACTTAAAAAATAAAAATAGTCGGTGCCGGGATTCAGCCCGGACCTTCGAAGTGACAAGCGAGGACGCTGCCACTGAGCTACCCAGGCATTGGTTATGCATCAATGTTATTTTAAGGACTATAATTAAACTTCTTTTTAGTAAGTCACGTGACACTCTAAATTTAGAAATCTACGAAGAAATTTGGTTACTGGCGAACCTCTCAGCAATTTAATGAACAATCGTCAAAATAACATCTTTATCGTGAGTATTTCTACACAGGTATTTGCTCCATTTGTTCATTATTGTATATTTTCTCATTAAAGCACAAAATATTACCAGGGACCCCGGGAACAATCTAAGATTGCGTTTCGGAGAGAGGCCTGACTTTAAGTTACACATAGCTAGGCAAGGTGTGTCCAATTCCACCCAATCAGCACAGGGTATGAACATTGCATGATACTAACTAGTCTTAAATGCACTCCAGGTCATTTTTAGATTACATCATTTCATAATGTCAATTTGGCTGTTTAGTTGTTCAATTCACTCCCTCATCTCTTGTATATACAACCAAAAATAAGACTGAACACTGGTGAATCTACTTAAAGTTCTGACATGTGTACTTTATAAAGTTTAAACAAGCCCATGAGAAAAATGTCACATGGTTCATGCTTTAAAATGTAAAACAGAGTTAAAAAGAGTGTTAAGGAATAAAGTAAACAGGCATGTAGTCAACACTCTAAATTGTATAGAAATACAAGAAAATTCATTCAAATCTGAGAAGATTGTATAATTATCATGACTAAAACAGCCTAGAAAGAAAAATTAAGACTAGGATTTATACACTTATAACATCTTGTAATTTTAGACTCAACAGACAAACATACTCTGGTGACGACAACAGTTGAATAATCATCATGGCTGAGAAAAGAAATGTGGATTTGTTGAACCTGCCACTGGCAACAATTGACATGACTGAGGCTTTGGAAAATCCTGAGAAAATAGCACCAAAAGTTGTAAAAGCAATGGAAAATGAAGGATTCCTCTACTTGAGAAACATTCCTGGGTTTAAGCCTGATGAATTATTGCAATGGACAAAATGGTTCTTCAATCTGCCCCTGGAGACAAAAATGGCAATATCGAAGAAATGTTTCAAAGAGGACAATTTGAATAGCTTCAGAGGTTACTTTCCAGTAATTCCTGGAGGGCATTCCCATAAAGAGGCTTTCGAAACGGGAAGTTTTGGTGATTTCGATCCTGTGAAGCAACAGAATCAAAAACTGATCAATGGCCGTCCATTGATGCGTGATGTCACCTCTGAAGGAAACAGTTGGCCAAACACAGGAACTTCCGATGATGAAATCTACAGAAAAGTCATGGAGTATAACTATGATATTTATCGCAAGACAGCGAGCCAAGTTCTCCAATTGATTGCAAGAGGTATGGGACTTGATCCAAACTGTTTTGATTATATGTTCAATCCATCCCCCCTTGCAACTTTAAGACTTATCCATTATCCAAGCCGCGTGAATTTTCCCCCCGAGGAAATCCCTGATGAGGCCAGAGATGGGGATACCCTTATTACAACAGGAGAACATGCTGATACAACATTCATTACCCTCCTTGCAACATTCGAAAACTGGGGGCTACAAATGCTGCAAAATGATACATGGGTTGATGTTCCCCCGATACGAGATGGTCTCGTTATGAACATTGGGGCTTTAATGACGGATTTATTTGGCGGTCGATTAAAATCAACAATGCATCGAGTGATTGACCTGGGTGAGGACCGATACTCTGTTCCATTTTTCTATGAGCCTCAATTCGACACAGACATAAGTAAAACATTCGATGGAAAAGAGATTGAAAGTATTGGACGTTACCATCGGTACGGTCCGTGGATGTGTAACAGAACCAGCCAATTTAAAGAATATGCTACAACGGATTTTGGTGTACTTGACTAAAACAATTCAACAAAATATTACACAAGACTTTTGTAACACATTATGAATGTGTCACACTGATAAAACTGTATATGGGTATATGCACATGTTTACAAAAGCTCACTATGTAAGCTAAAAATTACACATACACCATTTAGGGGTGATGCCCAAAGTTTGACAGTTGTGAATTAATTTCTTCTGATTGAACCCCCCAAAATCTTCCTTTTCCCTCCCCCCTAAACTAGCTCTGTTCTGCCACAACTGTTGGCAATTTTACATTTTGAATACTCTACAACTACTAATGTATGGTCACTTTTGAAAATTCTCTTCTTTTCAACATGGAAAATCCTCACTTCAGCAAATCCAGGTGTCATTTATATATGGTCATTTCTGTGTGATTTATATTTTATGTTTTAGAATATGAGTGTTTTAAAACCCCCACTTAACAAATATTAAACTCTAAATAGGCGATACACGGAAAATAAATTAATTTCACTGGAATCAGTTTTCCAATATTAACAAAAACATGATGAAAGAAAAATTCAACCGAGACAACCTCTTTTGACATGACCCATCATGACACAGCTCTTATGTCATGTAGGTACAAATAATATTTGTTATCTAGACATTGAACATACATGTCAATATAAGACAATGTAATTCTAGCCCAAGGTTGAATTGACTTTGAAACATACCGATGTACGTGCAGTAGAACATGTGTAAGTGGAACACCCTTTGGACCACTAAAAAGTGTTCCATTTGGGAGGTGTTCCACTTTCACAGGTTCATTAACATGGAGAAGATGGGTCAGGGAACTTTAAAAACATGGTTCCACTTGTGAGGTGTTCCATTTACAGAGGTGTTCTACTGTACATGTACTGGCATTAAGGTAATTTCTAACTAGGACACTCCCCTTTTAGGAGAAAAAGCCACGCATATAAAGTAAAACCTGTCTAATCCAAACACTATTGGGACAGACCAAAAGTGTTCAGATTAACAAGTTTCTTCACATTTCAAGTTTTTCTCTATATGTGAGTCTATTGGAGATAACATTTGAACCAAGAAAAAGTGTTCACATTAAGATGTGTTTGGATTAGAGAGGTGTTCAGGTATATAAAGGTTTCACGGTATCCATCTACATAAATACTATCCACAAAATCATTGTAAAGTACATGTACCTTTGCACAAATCATATCTTACAAATCTTAATGCATTTTAAAGACTGATTATACCTTGATTATTGAAAATGTTAAAAAATTGCACATGCATTTTTGTATCTTGTTATTTTTAAAGTCTGCAAATAACATGTTAAATATGTAACACCTATGCATTGACTAAAATAAATATATCTACATTTGAAAATAGTTGGTTTATCGCTAGCTTAATATCAGAAACATATTGAAATGTTAGATAATATATCATGGGACCCATTATGTGGTTAACTTAGCAGTACAACGTACAACTTGGCAGCTCAATGTACCCATTAGTGAAGCTTTCTACCATGGGCTTACTTCACGATATCAATGTCCATTTTTAATAGTGAACAACATCATACATAATGAAAGATCTTTATTTAGTGAGTAAAATTGTTATAAGCCTTTCACATGTACAAAATCAAAATTATTGAAAAATAAAGTCTACTTGAATCTTCTCACGTGCAAAATGTGAATAACTGTAAGAACATTATTATAGAAGTCTGATATATACTTTCAAGTCCGTTCACCATTTTTCTTTCTTTTAAGTCTTTAGACATGCAATTCTCATGCTATTTTTTAGTAGTAGAATAGAATATTAATTTCATTATGACTTTGATATCATGGTTATAAAATCTGATCACAATATAGCCCCCAAGGGAACTATAATACCCAATAATTGTTTTGCATCATAAATAAATAGTTGTCTTTTTATTTATTTATTTTGATTTACTGTAGATAGTAGATAAATGGTACTGCCAAGTTATTTCTAGGTTGGCATGCATTCTGCATTATCAAATTTACTAAAATTTCATTCATTCGTGGGCGACATCTGCCTTACGTTGTAATAGAATGAAATGGAAGTTGACACATGAAAGTACAATGAAATAACAAGATATCCATTGTGAAAATGCCACAAGTTTTTCTCCCAAAATGTAGAAATATAGTCGATTCGTTCTTGGAGTTGAAAATAAGAACTAAACCGTAGGAGCTTGTCTAGTTTCTATGTTGCTTTGAATGAATGAATGTACCTGTAAAGACTGGGATATGATTTCATTGGAAATGGTGATCCCCCATATTTTTACATCTCCCATTGGTAGAGCCCGCAATAATAACTGTACTACTTGTTTTAGCCTCAATTCTTGTATTGGTACCCTCTATTCAACTTCATCAATTTTTGTAACAAGGCTTTTACATGCAAATGACACCACCTGCCATTTGTAAAGATGCAGATCCCCACTATTGTATAACATGTGAGGTAAACAGGGGTATGTACTGTGTGTAGAAGCTTTATCAAATATATATGAGCCTCACCATAGGAAAACCTGTTTTATCACAAAAATTTTAATTGTGCTACAGAGCCAAAAATGTGCCCAAGATTAGGAGGAAAATGTGCTAGGTTCAAATCAGTCTTTTTGAGTCTATATCTGCAAGGAAAAATTGTTAAGACACCAGCCATGGCTCATTTGAAAGGTCTCTTTGTGCTTTTAAAGATATAAAAAAATCAAAATCTTGAAAAAATCTGTGATAAGACCCCTTTTCCTGGCCTGGCTCATATACCTTATGTGATATTCTGGAACCAAACTCACCAGCTGGAATATGCAAAGGTTATCTCATGGACATAGCAAATATAAGTAAACATATACTAAAATCCCAAAACTGGCATGGCTATTTCGAGTTAAAAGGAGAAATAACACTCATATGAACTCATTTTCAGATTCAATAGAAACAAACTTCTGTAGAAATGTCATTACCTTGTATCTTTCCATGCCGGTGCTTCCGCTTCCGTTCCACTGGATGAAAGTGAGGCCAAGGTCAAGGATGAAGACATCGTCAGAGTTCAAACTCTCCCTCAGTCGGGGAACCTAAAAAAAATTTAGTTATAAGTAAAATGGAGTAACACTGTACCTCTTCAACACATATGTAAAAAAATGAATTCACACTGTACCTCTTTCGCGCATATGTAAAATGAATTCACACTGTACCTCTTTTCGTGCAAATGTAAAATGGAGCAACATTGTAACTCTTCAACACATATGTAAAATGTAAAATGGAGCAACATTGTACCTCTTCAACACATATGTAAAATGTAAAATGGAGCAACATTGTACCTCTTCAACACATATGTAAAATGTAAAATGGAGCAACATTGTACCTCTTCAACACATATGTAAAATGTAAAATTGAGCAACATTGTACCTCTTCAACACATATGTAAAATGTAAAATTGAGCAACATTGTACCTCTTCAACACATATGTAAAATGTAAAATGGAGTACCACTGTACCTCTTCAACACATATGTAAAATGGAGTACCACTGTACCTCTTCAACACATGAAAAAGGGAGTAACAATGTACCTCTTCAACACATGTGTAAAATGGAGTAACAATGTACCTCTTTTGCGCATATGTAAAATGGAGTAACAGTGTACTTCTTTTGCGCATATGTAAAATGGAGTAACACTGTACCTCTTCAACACATGCGTAAAATGGAGTAACAACGTACCTCTTTTGCGCATATGTAAAATGGAGTAACAGTGTACTTCTTTTGCACAAATGTAAAATGGACTAACACTGTACCTCTTCAACACATGTGTAAAATGGAGTAACAATGTACCTCTTTTGCGCATATGTAAAATGGAGTAACATTGTAACTCTTTAGCGCATATGTAAAATGGAGTAACATTGTACCTCTTTAGCGCATATGTAAAATGGAGTAACATTGTACCTCTTTAGCGCATATGTAAAATGGAGTAACAGTGTACCTCTTCAACACATGTGTAAAATCGAGTAACAATGTACCTCTTTTGCGCATATGTAAAATGGAGTAACACTGTACCTCTTTAGCAAATATGTAAAATGGAGTAACATTGTACCTCTTTAGCGCATATGTAAAATGGAGTAACAGTGTACTTCTTTTGCACAAATGTAAAATGGACTAACACTGTACCTCTTCAACACATGTGTAAAATGGAGTAACAATGTACCTCTTTAGCGCATATGTAAAATGGAGCAACATTGTACCTCTTCAACACATATGTAAAATGGAGTAACACTGTACCTCTTTAGCAAATATGTAAAATGGAGTAACAGTGTACCTCTTCAACACATATGTAAAATGGAGTAACACTGTACCTCTTTAGCAAATATGTAAAATGGAGTAACAGTGTACCTCTTCAACACATGTGTAAAATGGAGTAACAATGTACCTCTTTTGCGCATATGTAAAATGGAGTAACAGTGTACCTCTTCAACACATATGTAAAATGGAGTACCACTGTACCTCTTCAACACATGAAAAAGGGAGTAACAATGTACCTCTTCAACACATGTGTAAAATGGAGTAACAATGTACCTCTTTTGCGCATATGTAAAATGGAGTAACAGTGTACTTCTTTTGCGCATATGTAAAATGGAGTAACACTGTACCTCTTCAACACATGCGTAAAATGGAGTAACAATGTACCTCTTTTGCGCATATGTAATAAAAAGGAGCAACATTGTACCTCTTTAGCGCATATGTAAAATGGAGTAACATTGTACCTCTTTAGCGCATATGTAAAATGGAGCAACATTGTACCTCTTCAACACATATGTAAAATGGAGTAACACTGTACCTCTTTAGCAAATATGTAAAATGGAGCAACATTGTACCTCTTTTGCGCATATGTAAAATGGAGCAACATTGTACCTCTTTTGCACATATGTAAAATAGAGTACCTCCTCAACATATTGCTAAAATGGAGTAACACTGTACCTCTTCAACACATACATGTATGTAAAATGGAGTAACACTTACCTCCTTGATGCGAATGTTGCCCTTGGAGCCATTGAATTTGAAGAGACGTGGCTTGTATTCCTCTGGAGTGACCTTGTTGAACCCGGAATCAACACCTCCTCGCATTGTCCTGAAGTAAAATGAAGTTAATTAACTCATAGGGATGGTCTCCAAATGTTTTCAACAATAATGGAAAACCAAAATTAATTACATAATCTAGTTGAAAGCCCATGTTTAAACCTCACCCCTCTTTACAAGAGCAAATCTGAAAATGTTCATTAGCATTTAAATTATTCACAATAACTTTCACCCATGAAAATGTCATATCCTCCCCTTACAAAATCAATAAAGTATTTTAAAACGTCTGACATGTTCTCTTAGCAGTACAGTGTATGTTGATAACAGATCAATTTGAACTTTTACATGGTCTTTATGAAGCATGTTACTGAAATGTGGCAGAGCAGTACAATGGTTCAAAACTCATATCACAATTTGGAGAATATTTACATTGGTTCAATCCATCCATAAGACCAAGTAACAGTATTATTTTTATGTTTATTAAATAAATAATACAAACATATTAATGGAATTAATAGAGAGGTTTCTCAAAACAGTTTATGGCTAAAACATATCAGCAACAGCATCTATTTTAATTGGTCTGCTATGCATAATTCTGGTGAATGCGTTAAAGATTTTGGATATGTTGAACTAATAAAAACATTGTGCAAATCCTCATTAATCAGGCCCGTAGCCAGGATTTGCCAAGGGGGGTTCATTTTCAAAAATTTCCAGGGGGGTTCACATTTGACAATTTTGGCCCAAATATGGCTAAAATCACTTGATGAAAAACTGCATGATTTTGAAATAATTTTTGGCCAGGGGGGGGTTCACCCGAACCCTGCCGAGCTACGGGCCTGCAGTAAAATGAACAGATTAAAGGTATGTGTTTGCTGCAAATTCTACATTATACATTAAGTAATGGTGGCAACAGTTGTGGAAAACAAAATTTATTTTTTGTAAGATGGGCAGGGATGAATGTTGAATGTACACGTACTTAGGTGAAGGGGGTAAGTATCAATTTGCAAGATGGGAGACTGTCATGTTCATACTGTTAGGGGAAGGGTGTCAATGTTAGTGGAATCTATGTGAATGACAAACTAATATTCTATGAGGGGGAGGAAATAACTGAAATTGACTCTGTATTTATAACTCCACAACTGTCAACTCATAAACTTCGTCTCTATGGGTCAACCGCATGCAGTTTGTCTATTCTACTATCATATATTATGAGTCTCATGCAATTCTACCGCACATGCAAGGCTAGGTGTCTCATTAGTGTTACTAAACTATGGGTTTTAATTATGGGCATCCCATTGCATCATATCTTCCCTGACTGGTATGTTTAAATGACAAAGAGGGACGTTTATGATATGTCCATTAAATGTGTGAAATATGCATGATCCAAGAACGATTATATCTCAGGGTTCCAACTTTTTTTATTTTTTTTTATTTTAATCTCCAAGCAATTTGATCAATGCTGATTTCTCCGGCAAAGAACGTGCAAATGAACTGCAATAAAGATCCATACTAATGTCTTGATCACTTGTTTGGTTTTTAAAATGGAAACAAGACCAGAACTCACCATTTAAATTCTGAAGTACAAAATGACAGCTGCTTAAATTTGAATTTTGTCATGAATACACGGCTCCATATATGGCAGAATATCGAGTTGGAACCCTGGGAGCAGCTCCAATCTTACCAGGAGTGTAAAAGGGAATTTAAAAAGGGAATAGAAAGCACACTTACTCCATTTGCTTAAAGTAGCCGCAGAATAGCGCACTCTCGTGACCCATCACCTCGCGATGCTGAACGGGTTTGTCATCAAGATAGGTGTCTAACTCAACTGTTTTATACGCTGCCGTACCATACTCATCCTGTAGCAAGGAGCCAAAGGTCAGAAATAAGCATGGGATAACTTTCAGCCTTGATAGTAGGGAAGGATATGATATCTTCGCCTTCCTTAGATATAATATTATAGTCTTTGTATGTTCATCAATGGTCAGAAATAAGCATGACATAATCTCGGCTTGATATTAGGAAAGGATATGATATCCTGGCCTTCCTGAGATATGGTTCTAATCCTCATTTATTTATCCAGTGTAGCTTTATAGTATTTCAATCAGTCAATGGTCTGGCATGAGCATAAGATAATCAGAAGTCAGACACAAGTGTTGGATAATTTTAAAGGCTTTGATAAGTGGTGGATATATTCATATCCTTTCCCCTTTACTAATATTCGTCTTGTAGAAGAAGCTGGATACAGAGGGGATGTGGGCAATAATTTCATGTCCAAATAAGGAATTGTCACAGGTTGAGAAAGCTCCACCTATTGGATGAAAGCATTAGTAGAAGCTTACTTTAGTAAATTAAATAACCAGCACCCTGTAAACCAACAATGAGAAGTTATCTATTATTTTCTGTGTAAGGAGGTTATGTAATTTTACCATGTAGGAAATTATCATAATTATGACATCTATATGCTTAAAACGGTTGATACAAATATGTACAGTTACACTTAGAATCGAAACAACAATACCATCTATTGGCCAAAATCTTTTACTATTCTTAACTTATTTCACATTTATAATATGACGACAATCAAACATTTTTTCACATATAGATGTCAGATGTGCAGACTTATTCCCATCTCAATGGATTCTTACTCAAATGTGTTGAAATAACTTGAAAATAGTTCCGACTCATGGCCACACACTTCCCGATATTGGACGGCTTTGTCATCAAGGAATGTATCAAGTTCTACCGTTTTGTAAGCGGCAGTTGCATACTCATCCTATCAAATCAGGTGAAATATCAGTAATATGCAAAAAAGTAGAACCCTATGAATGCAGGCAGGGGCAGGATATGATATCCTTTCCCTCGTTTAAATTTCAGAAAATAGTCACACATAAGCATTGGATAAATCTGTGAATGTTATTCTATACTTTTTCTCATTAATCACATTAATGGCTTATTAGTTTTTGTTTTGACTTTTTTTCTACTTTGGTTACGCCCCAGCATCAAGAGCCACTGGTTGGTCAATATTATATGCCATTCTTACATTTGGACATTACATAAGCAAACTGCTCACAATATCAAGTATTTCCTGTACACATGAAATAAGAATAAACTCAGTATTTCTTTTAATTATAGAGCTACCTAAAGGTGGTGCCACTAACCTGTGAGCTATATCGGCCAATCCAGAAGTGGACATCATACTCGACGGATTCCTCATCCAGGTATTGCTGTAACATAAATCATGACATACTATATTTTTTCAATATTCATAAATAAAGGTACCTCAGCGGGAGATATATATATATATCACCCGCTCACCTCAGATATCAATTATATTCCCGCATGTTATTTACCTATAACACTACTAAGTATGGGATAAATTTCAATATTCATAAGGTAGTCTGATGTATTAAGTGTGTCATAGATTTAATGAAGAATGCCGATGTACAATGAACAGGCAATAAAGACCAAGTAATAAAACCAAGCAAAAAAAGTCAAACAACAAAGACCAAGCAAATAAAACCAAGCAACAAACATCGCTCAAGACATGGCAACAATCACCAAACAAGGCAACATGACAAAATGTCACTACCTAGTTGCTCATAATATTATGAGTTCAATCTAAAGTCAGATTTGAACTTTTAAGAACTTGTATATGAAATTTTTAAAAAATTGGTCAATTTGAAGAAAGTTGAACAATACTTTTTTACCTTGAGAAGGTCAATGAAGGTCAAGTCTTAAAATAAAAATCAGTTCTTAATTTCTGAGAACTTGTATATGATTTTGAAAAAATGGTCAATTTGAAGCAAGTTGAAAAAAGAAGAGAAGGTCAAATCTTAAATCTAAAGTCAGATTTGAAATTCAGAAAGCTTGTAGAGGATTTTGAAAAAGTCTGTCTTAACAGGTTTTGTTGAATTATTGGAAGTTGTAAGAATTTGTTACAGATACCGGATGCCAACCACCAACTGCCAACCAACAACCACCAACTGCTGCCATAAAAAATGGAGACCATCACCATGTTTTATGGCATAACAACAAATACAAAGCAATCAACAGAGCCTTAGCAACATAGACAAGCTAAATGGATAAATCAAATGCAATATTTTGCGTCCATCAATTAGTTTCCCTGTGAAACTGATAATCATATACATAGTATGACCAATACATAGTGTTATCATCATATGCACAGTATCTTGTATGCAGACCAATACATGGCTCTAGGGCCTTGTTGAAAATTGCAAATTAGTGAATTATTCATGGTAAGATAATTACTAATAGAACCTAGCACAGCTTGTTGTATTTACTACATACAGGCATGGTATATGAGATACATACAGGTTGTTCATTATTTGTTAATGGGAAAATGCTCTCATTTCTATGAGGCTTGGAATCTCCAATGTCATATTGCTAAATATGGCACTTGGTGAGCAGTATTGTACACTACAATACACAGAATGGAAGATTGTGTTACAGATATACAAGTGTAACTATCTATTACAGAGAAAATGGTTGCAATATCAATATCAAGGTTAAGACATAACAAGAATTAAATCACTTTTTGTGTCTTGTAATATTACTATACCGCATCTAGCCTGACAAAAACACTGCTGCCATCTATATCCATAATCTATATCAAAACTGATTTCGATCATTAAGTTTTGAAAATTGAACAGGTTGGTGAAAGAGTGACGAGAATCTTTTAAACCATTACATCCACTTATGTTATTTTTGGCCATAGCAAGGCATGAGGCAATCATTACCTCACCAAAATTTCACTGAAAGGACGATTCTCGGTTTGGAGAACAGTCTCCTGGGCTAATAATTTTTTTCATGAAAAATATAGAAATATTACCCAAATTAAACTATGAATATTCAAAAGAGGACATTTAAATCTACAAGATGTAAAAATAACAAATTGGTCTGAAGCAGGGATAATGCTCAATTAGACCGATTCAATAAAATACAAGTCTCGATTTGGGGAAAGAAGTTCATCAGTGTACTACACTAATATTTTTTTGCGAAAAATCTAGAAATATTACCCAAATTAAATTATGACTATTCAAAAGAGGACATTCAAATCTATATTATGTAAAAAAAATCAAATTTGTCCGAAGCAGGGATAATGCTCATTTAGATTGATGAACTTGGTTCTCCAAACCGAGAATCGTCCTTTATTTACTCAGATATTTTTCAACACAAACTGTGGGGATGAAGTCCAAAAGTTGTCATATATGTCCCTTAGGCTCAATTAGCCTCATCTATTTAATGTAACTTTGCCTCACCAAATCTTGCTATGTTCCTGTTATTAAAACCAACTTACATTAAGCACAATGTATGAGTCTCCCTCGAAGAATTTCCCATATTGATCTTCTGGCCATGCTTCTACCTGGAAATTCTGAAAAATAATTGTGTTGAATTTTAATTTGCATTTTTTGATTTATTATTAATGGATGTTGAGTTACAGAATTCATACCTTTTTTTAAGGTTAGTTTATTTCATATTAATCATATTTAGAAAACAATATAACAGTGGGTAAATATATGAAATGCAAGCCGAGGTCTTGTGACATTTTTGGCTTGTAGAGAATTCACATCTTGTTGTCGTATTCACATTTTCAAGTGCTAATCGCCTTGTCATGATGGCATTATAGGAATTTAAGTATTGGAGGAAGGGATTCAGCTTAGGGGGATAATGGAAAACAGGAGGAGGAATATGATCACTTTGCATACAGAACAACACACTTTTATCATAGCATTCATATTTTGAAGTATAATGCAATAAATTTTGAAGTATTTTTCATTGTAAAATTAGATTTCGCTCTCAAACAGCCTGATTTTCTCGAAACTACTCACAACTGGGATATTTTACTACCATCTTTTAAAATCTTTCAAATGTCTGTATGCTCTTATAACTTCTAGATTTTTCTAAAATCTTACTCATTTTCTGGCAATTCTACACAATCCAGAGAGTTGACTACATGCCTGTTTACTTTATTTCTTGCTAATTCAACTCATTTCACTCTATAATTTGAATGAACTGTCTGATTTTCTTGCATTTCTACACAATCCAGAGAGTTGACTACATGCCTGTTTACTTTATTTCTTGCTAATTCCACTCATTTCACTCTATAATTTGAATGAACTGTCTGATTTTCTTGCATTTCTACACAATCCAGAGAGTTGACTACATGCCTGTTTACTTTATTTCTTGCTAATTCCACTCATTTCACTCTATAATTTGAATGAACTGTCTGATTTTCTTGCATTTCTACACAATCCAGAGAGTTGACTACATGCCTGTTTACTTTATTTCTTGCTAATTCCACTCATTTCACTCTATAATTTGAATGAACTGTCTGATTTTCTTGCATTTCTACACAATCCAGAGAGTTGACTACATGCCTGTTTACTTTATTTCTTGCTAATTCCACTCATTTCACTCTATAATTTGAATGAACTGTCTGATTTTCTTGCATTTCTACACAATCCAGAGAGTTGACTACATGCCTGTTTACTTTATTTCTTGCTAATTCCACTCATTTCACTCTATAATTTGAATGAACTGTCTGATTTTCTTGCATTTCTACACAATCCAGAGAGTTGACTACATGCCTGTTTACTTTATTTCTTGCTAATTCCACTCATTTCACTCTATAATTTGAATGAACTGTCTGATTTTCTTGCATTTCTACACAATCCAGAGAGTTGACTACATGCCTGTTTACTTTATTTCTTGCTAATTCCACTCATTTCACTCTATAATTTGAATGAACTGTCTGATTTTCTTGCATTTCTACACAATCCAGAGAGTTGACTACATGCCTGTTTACTTTATTTCTTGCTAATTCAACTCATTTCACTCTATAATTTGAATGAACTGTCTGATTTTCTTGCATTTCTACACAATCCAGGGAGTTGACTACATGCCTGTTTACTTTATTTCTTGCTAATTCCACTCATTTCACTCTATAATTTGAATGAACTGTCTGATTTTCTTGCATTTCTACACAATCCAGGGAGTTGACCACATACCTGTTTACTTTATTCCTTGCTGATTCCACTCTTTTTCATTCTATTTTGTATTTTAAAACATGACTACCATGACATTTTTCTTCCAGATAGAGAAATATGTAATCATGAACATCTGTTGCACATTTAGTTAAAAAACAAATCATTTATGATTTTATGTGCTATTGATTACCCTTTGAAAAACCTCTTCCAGGTTCTTCACTCTTAAAATAAGTGATCTCCCCTGCATTAAGGGAAGTGGGCACATCACCCACCTGAGATTTTGATTAAAGGCTAGCACCTACCTGAAACTCTATTTACACCCACTCAAAAATGAGAAAAATCATGATGAATTGATACATTTTTACCAATTTTTACCAATTCGGTCTGAATCTTGTACCAACTTGAGGAAAAATCCTGAGGAAAACGCTAAATATTAGAAATTTAGCATGAGTTAGGGCAGAATGTGAGACAAAGCATGGTCAGGTTTCAAAATTCTAAAATCATCATTTGTGGTCAGAGATGAGTGTGGCGAGCCAATGAAGATTCAGGGTTAACAAATCTCTGACTTTCAATTCTATTGATTTGCATTAATAAGCGCCTTGAGACTTATATATACAATTACGAGTTGAAAAAAGAGATCATGTTATTATTATCAGAATGTATCAGAAGTGCATTCATTTATGTTGAAAACATATTCATAAGGGTATTCAATATATTTTATTCATGCACTTTCAACAAGTACATATACTCATTGATCTTCCAATGCTTTTTCCTCAGCAGAGTGCTTCATACTAATATTGTGGTCAAAATATATAATTTCTCCCCCTTTTGCATAGTGAAACAAACAAAAGGGTGTCATGTAATTTTGGCATATCACAGCTTTGATGCATTAGAGCATGACTTACATTGATTCTCCATATGTAGAGCTTGTTCCCAGCATCTGGGTCAACTGCATGCCACGCTGGCTCTGCCTCAGCAGACTCCTCTGCAAACAAATATGACAATTTAAGTAAACAAACAACATTCAGGAGGCAAACATGTAATATAAACAAACATTTTAAGTAAATAAACAAAAACAAATTCACCATAAGCAAACTCTAAAACATTCAACATAAGCAAACATGTAATATAAATAAACATTTCATGTAAGCAAACAATATTCCAAACAAACATTCATCATGGACAATCAAACATTTACATGAAATCATTAAATTTAAACCAAATTGATCCTAACATTTTATGCAATTAAAAATTAAACATTACACTCATCAATATTGAAATATACAAACAAACAAATAAACGAAAACAAACACTTAAAAATACAATCTGACACTGACAGCCATAAATAATAGCATAGCCTATGTTAGTGTACCCTTTACAATGATATATTTACAATAGAGTCAAGTTTATTCAAATATAGTTTTATTATAGTTTTTCAATGGTGAACCTGTACCTGTCTAACTAATTCAGGTTTTAAAACTTAAGATTTGTGAATGTAATTATTTGCATGTTTTCCTCAGGATTGATACAGTAAACCCTATGTTTGGGAACACCTTTAATTCAAGTTAAAATATGAACACTTTTGGAGTCCTTCCACCAACTGATTGACAAAATCCAAAACTGCACACTTTTTTTCATCATTTCCCTAGTTTCAAATATATATTTATAAATATAACTGAAGCCTAACTGACACCTCTTCATTTCAAAAATAGTACAAATTTAAATTCAAAAATGACAGAGTGCTAACTTGTCTTATTTTTCCAGGCTTAGTCTACATAGGGCAACTACTGCATTAAAAAAATAGCAAGGCATGGTCAAGATTCAGTAAAGCAAAACTGTGATGAGTGGAACAACTTTGGTCCCTCAATGTTCTACTTAGGAGGTGTTCATCTTACAGAGGCACGTGGTACTAACTTCGACCGTTAATTTGAAAATCAAGGCCTGCGATTCCATACTGCACCGTTTTTCTTCAAACTTGTTCCATTCAAAGTAAAACAAAATTGCCTTTCTGTTGGTACATTGCTTTATTGTAAAGAATCCTTCGTTTTAGCAGCGTTTCGGTCCCCAGTTGTGAGAAGCCCTCCTAGCAGCTGGGGACCCAAATGCTGCTGAAAGTAGGGACTCTGTATAGCACAATAATGTACCAACAGAAAGGCATTATTGTTATGCTTTGAATGGAACAAGTTTGAAGAAAAACGGTGCAGTATGAGACTCGCAATCCTTGATTTTCAAACATCTGGTAGGTCAAAAATTCAAATTAACGGTCGAAGTTAGTACCGCATGAGAGGTTCATTTTAAATTTATGATGTCAATAGATAAAAGGATTTTAAAATGTGTTCCAAAAATGTGTTCTACTTACAGAGGTTCATTTTACATCATGCCCATGGGTAAATGTGTTCCACCTAATGGAGGTGTTCCACTTACAGAGGTGTTCCACTCAACTGGTTTTCCTGTATACTAATGAGCTTATCTCTCTGAGCAGACCAACATGGATTTATAGCATCATATATTGTATCACTTTATGAGTCACTCTACTCTAGTAGGTTAGTTATTAACAATGAAATCAGGCAACTTTCTCACAATACTTGTATATATACTGTATGCTTCCCATACTAAGGTTGAAAACATGATTGAATGAGTCCTTGCTTAATTGAGCCCAAAACTCAATAAAACATAATTTTAAGTAAGGTTAAACAAGGCATTAACATGAAAAAATGTCAGCACCTAGTTGCTCATAATATAATTAGTTCAATCTGAAGTCAGATTTGAACTTCTGAGAACTTGTACATGATTTTGAAAAAAAAATTGGTCAATTTGAAGCAAGTTGAAAAAAGACCTTTTTGACCTTCTTTAACCTTGAGACGGTCAATGAAGGTCAAATCCCAAATCTAAAGTCACATTTGAACTTCTGATAACTTGGAGATGATCTTGAAAAATATTTGCCAGTTTAAAGCAAGTTGAAAAAAAGATCTTTTTGATCTTTTTTGACCTTGAAAAGGTCACTGAAGGTGAGAGAACAGTCACAAGATTGATATTGAAGGTGTATATTATATATCATATGCGGTAAATATAATTTATGAAGATTATAAAGATTTGAACTTCTGAGAAAAACTGAAGTTAGTATAAACACTTATTTGTTAAGTTATCGGAAGTTTTAAGAATTTGTTACACTTTTTGGTGGTGACATAAAAACATGATAGCTCAATTTAACATTTTGCTGCCTTACTGGCGATGGCAATCACATCTTGTCAATGAACTTGGAAAATGAGTTGCCTTTTGAACAATTGGACTGAATTAAATGCCATAATGTTAGATTGGGCGATCATGTTTTTAGCATTAGTCACAAAATCTGGAGTTAATGTACTATTCTTTTAGACCAGGAAGTTTGGCCAAGTTAAGTTCTAGCTCACAGTGGCTTATTCTGATAAACATTGAAAATACAATTTTGGGCTCAATTTAGTACCTTACTTATTCAAAACATGTACCTTTTCTATCACAAATGTACTCATAATATTTATTGAAATAGGTTACTCCTAGTACTATAGTAATTAGTTTCATTTCTTAGCTTATGTTTTTTATATTCAAGAGAAGTCATGAGATTGATATTGAAGGTGCATATTATATTAAATATAATTTATGAACCTTTTCTTTCATGAAATTGAAAACGTTGAATCACATCCGTGGGTGTACTGATTACACTTTAAGAAATGTGTTAAGTTTCATTTCTAGTATTTTTGTAAAGTGACAAATGCATCATGTAAAGTATTGGGTGTCTACTAGAGACAGGTGTTCACTGCAAAGAGGTGTTCACTAAGACATGTTTTACTGTATTTGAGACTTAGTTTATATCAGCAAATGATACATAGATACTATAGTATGAAATCAATGACAATAATTATCACATGATAATTGTACCTCATATGTTATATTTCTTCTTAATATCTATATGCTTTCCGTTGTTTAATATCACTAAATCCAGGCTCAAAAGCAATGAGTTAAAGGGACATGCAATTGTTTTATCCAATAATCCAAAACCCTTAACAGTTATAGATAAGACTATACATGTGTCATATATTGAGATAAAGAAAATGTATTGTGGTGCAAATAATGAAAAAAAGAAATAAAAATGTTTTTTAGCTCCAGAACCCATACGAATAGAAAGGTAAGACTATTTCCTTGAGACATATTGTTTGAAATCTCTTTTCAGTTAATCTCCCTATAAAGTACTTGAAAGTTCCTTTCAGGGTTCTCACTAGGCTTTTAGACTACCAAGATTCTCTCTAATGTCTAAAGACCGTCTTGCTCCAGAGTCTAATAGCTTTTCTGGAGTCTAAAGTGTTTTTTCCGGAGTCTAATTTTACAATTTTATCACATTATTTGTGGTAAAACTCTTGAGAAAACACATAAAATTGGATACAAACAAGGAATAGGAAGTCAGAAACCTTTTATAAATGTATATTATGAAGAAAATAGGAAGATAATCTTAGTTGTATTTTGAAAAGTTTACAAATGGGATATCTCTGATCTTACATTGGGGAGAAGTAGTTGTGATACCACAAAAAATCTGAGGTCTAAAAATTTCCCCTGGTGGGAACATGGCACCTTTAAATGGGCCCTTCATATCACTAGATGGATTTAGGTCAGAGGTCATGAGTGTGGAAAGAGTGTAAATTTTAGCTCCAGATATTTGTGTCATTTCTATGTGATATATTCATGGATATTAATTGAAACTTTGCATAGTTGACTGGAATACACATAGCTACATGCATGGAATCTACCAATACAAAATAATTATTGGATATTCTGATATTTGATGGTGAAACAACAAAGACATTTGTAGCTAGTTCAGGGACCTGTTATTGTGTTTCAAAAATAAATGTCTTCAGTGCAACCTACAATATTACGAGATCGAAAACACGCCAGATCTTCAACAAGTTCATCTATATCGGATTCTGAGCGTAGCCCACATCCAAAAATGGCTAAACCTGAAAACGATGTTCTCAAAACTATCTTGGAGACTGTCGAGCAAAACAACAAAGCTTTGGTAGATATAAACATCAAATTAGATAGTGTCTCTTCTACTAACACCCAGTTGGAAGAGAGGATTAAACATTTGGAGGATACTAACACTAAATTGGTATGTACTGTAAATTTATTATGCCAAACGGTGTCTGATCACAACGTCCATTTCACTGAGCTCAAAGATGATATAAACGACATTCGTTTTCGCTCGATGAAAATGAACCTCATCTTCTTTGGTGTGCCACAACAGTTCAACAAATCTCCACGATATTATGAATCACTTATTGAGGGCGTTCTCATAAAGTGTATGAAGGTTCCTCAAGATCTAGTGTTTAACCCAGAAAACCTTGGTGGCACTATTCGTATAGACATTGCACACCCCATTGGAAAATCTGGAAAAGGCCCTAGGCCAATTGTTGTCAAATTCTCTGATAGGTCAAGCGTTGAGGCCATTTTCAAATATGTGCATAACCTAAAAGGATCCAAGATACGAGTTTCAAGACAGCTTCCGAAAGAGATGCAGTCTCGTCGTGATGCCCAATTTGCAACCTTTAAGGACTTAAAGGGGACGGTAGACAACCCAAGTGCTGTAAAGCTTGTTCAAGACAAGCTATATAATGCAAGTGGACTTGTAAAACACAACTTCTCAAAAAATCCACTTCCTTTCCCTTCAAAATTGTTGCAATCCCAACCCCCCGAACCAAGCCCTGGTGACACAGTCGATGGATTCAAGGCGTATATTTACAACATTGACAATCTTGAAAAAGCTACAGCAGCCGTGGCAGTCTTTCAAGCTTCTAGCCAAAAAGGCGTATCTCCATATGCTTACAGAATCAAAGATGATTCCAACCTTGTGGTAGGAAATGATGACTTGGGAATGATTGGGGCAAGTTGTGAGTTGGCCGATCTACTTGAGCAAGCTGAACTACAAGATGTTCTTGTTATTGTCCACAAGCCAAGTTC